CGAGGACAGCCCCACAGCCTTTGTTGTAATATTCAAATCCTGTATGCATGGCATATATTTTTGCCAGCTGTACTAGTAATCCTGGTACATGTGTTGAATTTTCAGGTTTTAAATTATCAGAATAAAAAATAGCACAATCTTTCTCATTTATTTGCCAAAGTCCTGTTTTTTTCACAACTGTCTTATTTTAAATATAAATGTCCTAGATTCGGGTTTTTTAACTAAAGGAGGAGGTATAATGTAGAAGATACAACAATTAAAACTATGTAAAATACACTTTCATGTTTCTGAACGTTTCTTTATTCTTTCAGCTGTTCTGACTTTAAATTCCCCAAACCAAGATATGAAGCACATGAAAGGCTTGGGCTATTCTGCCTTTCACATCATTAAAATATAGTGCTGTTCTTAGGATAAGCTTTGTTGCTGTCTGATAAATATTCATAAAAGTCAATGAATGCAATTCAGCAGAGTTCTGTAATCTTGCAAAATAACTATTTCTAAAAAATTCCCGTCAGCTCTGCTAAAATTGCCTTTACTTTTACAGTTTTCTCAACTAAAAAACCCCACACTACTAAGAGTTAAGCATTATTTTGTTATATATTACAGGCACAGAATTATTAGAAACTCTTCTAGGGTTGTGTTTTTTTATTCTGTGTGATAACAATAATGTTGCAGAAGCTGGTAGATGTTGAAGCAACAGCAGAAAAGTAAGGAGCAGTGTAGGGTCCTGTAAGGACTGCAGGTCTGTGCCCTGCCTACACTCAGGGAGAGTTAAATAATGTGAGGGGACGTTTGGTTTAGGTTGGATGGGTATAATTTGCATAAAGCAAACTTAAGCAAGATACAAAGATTTGAATTCAACTAAAATGTAATTTATTGTAGACATTGTCAAAATAATATTCCTTGAAGTCTTTATTTTAAAGCACCCAAAAAAAAGTAAACCACAAGAGTAGCTAAGGATAAATTGACCCTACAGTGATTCCTGATACTGTGTGTTGGGGTTGAGCTGAAGTGACTTAGCCTGTGAATGTCTGATCTCTTTAAAAACAGTTTTCCCACTGGGGTGGCATTCCAGCTCTCATTGTCATCAAATCAAGGATTTTTGTCAGGCTGTACCTTTGCACCTACATTGATTATGAGTTTGGCATTTGACTCACTCTTTTTTCCAGACCTGTTTAACAGCAGAGATATTTTCAGGGCAAACTGCATTTACAGACAGAATGAAATTATGGAACAGGAGAAAAGGTTGTAGTGCTGTTCAGAGAGTGACCCCAGAAGTACATCTGACATGAGCATTACCATTGGTGCTTCTCCTCCAGTTCAGTAAGGGCTGAAAAAAGAATAATTTGAGTTGGAATATTTTGAGGAGTGGTCATGAAGATGTTATTTTCCAGCCCTCTCTGCTAGCACTCGCCAAATTGCATCTGCAAGGTCATCTCAGGCCTGCTGTTGTACAGCTGTTCTCGGGGCAGCCTGCCTGCTTGAGAGTCTCTTTGGGAACCTTGGGAAGACTCCTTGAGTTGAAAAAAGGGCTTTCATTTCTTCATGTTGACAACTGTACAGTCTAAACTATGTTTTCGCCTCCCATCAATCAGGGCCTGATAAGCCAGAGCCAGGGAACTGCCTCACCTGCTTCGTACTTCTCCCGCAGAGGCCAGGTGAAACGCATGACTCCATTTTCCTTCCCGTTTCACGCCCCGGTTGGGAGGATAAAAACCCAGCTGGGAGTTAGCGCCTGTCTCCTTAGGTGCTGAGGACAGAGCCGGAAGTTCCTCGGCCGCCTCCGGGGTTCCCAGCGCGGTACCGGCCGCTCCCCGAGGGGCAGGACACGCGCCCGGAGGCTGCGGGGAGGGGAGCGGAGCGCGGGCTCGTGCCCGGCTGTCGCAGCCGGCACAGGCGGACGGGGCTCCGGGCGCTGCAGCGGCCCCGAGGCGGCACGGAGCCCCAAGCCTGCAGGCGAGCGGGACGGGCGGGCGAGCGGCAGCGGCGGCGGGGCCGGGAGGGGCGAGGCGAGAGCACCCCCCGGTCGCCTTCTCGCAGGTCGCGCGTGAGGGGGACGCGGGACCCCCGGGAGAGGCCGCGGGTTCTCGAAAGAGCCGTTCCCGGGGCACGGTGGGGCCAGCCCTGCGGGACCGGACGCCGGCCGGGGCGCCTGGACGACGAAGGGCTGCCCCGTCCGCCGACCCCGCGCTCCGCGCCGCCCCGCCCGCAGCCGCGGCCGCGGGCCGTGACTGCCCGCGCGTTTTCAGGCCCGGCCTGCTGGCGCTCGCGCCGGGCGCGAGGCGGAGCTGAAGGAGCGGACGCGTGCCGCGAAGGTACCGGGGAACGTTGCCGAAGGAGGCGGCGGCTGCGAGGATACGATGGATCCGAGAGGCGCGTGAGGCAGCCCGCGGGCGCGGGAGCCTGGGCGGGCCGGGGAGCGGCGGCGGGAATGGGGAGCGGGAGCGCCGCGTCCCGCCAGGGGTGCCCGGCTCAGCGCCCGGCGTCCGGCGACGCCGCGCCATTTTGTCTGCGGCTGCCTCAGAGTGGAAGAAGCCACGGCCGGGCCCGGGTGTGCGGGGTAATCGTAGCTGGGCCGCGGGTCCGGCTCCCCGCCTTACAGCGCGCCGGCTGCGGGAAATAGAGCTGTCCGGGCTGTTAGGTGCGGGGAATCACCAGGCCTTCGTAGGGTTTGGTTGGCGGACCGTGGGGTGTATTCACTGTAAAAATGCAAATAGCGCTTGTGCTGAAGAGCGGTTGTCAAGCGCACTAAATAAAACGTAAAAATACTGTTGAATGTACACATCCGTATTTGGAAAAATGATGGAAGTTTATAAACCAGTGAAGACAAATGTTTGGGCAAGCGATGCTAGTACATATTTAGCTTTTTTTAATACTATTTTCTTATTGTCACACTAGCAATAAAGAGAGAGTTATCAGAATACAGATTTTAACTTTAAAAACTCGTGGGAATTTACTGTATTGGGAGTTCACAAGCAATGTGGTTAATTTCTCGTTTCTTCCATTCCGATTTTTTCTGTTTGTTTTGTTGGGGTTTTTTTAATAAGACAACTCTTAAAACTTGTATGGAGAAAATGCCATCTGAGCTCCTTGAGGTAAGGAATACATTTTTGATTGGGATGTCGACTGTTAATTGTTATAGTTAAGTCCACAAGCTTCCGTGCTGAACACAGTTGACAGATAATTATACAATTAGAGTATTGTCTTTGGTGTGAGAGATGGAGAAAGTAACCTGTCTTGTCCTTTAAGAGTTTTTCCTCTGCAAAAAACAGTCCTCTTCCTAAAGCCTTTGAGACTGTAGCAGCTATGTTTGTTCCTTACCCAGTAATGTTGGCTGTTGTTCAGGTTGGGCCCTACTCTAGGTTAGTATTCCCAGTGGGAGAAATGCACACTGGATTCTTCAGAATAGGTCAGGTTAACGACTTCGGGTTTTCCTCTGCCCCAGATGTGTGTTTTAGTAAATTCGGAAAGGACTTTTGTGTTCCCTAAGTTGTGTGACTTAAGCTGGATTTATTGTCTTTAAGGTATCCAAAACAACAGCATTAACGCATTCCTCAGAATTCTCAGGTAGCTAAAGAAATAGCAAATAATCTTAGAAGGGCTTGCAGAGCAAATGAAAAGACAGCTTTTTTTCCTGACGTTCTTTTAATTACTGATCTTCCATTTCTTGCTACATTGCAACTGTCAGCCTTTACTTTTTGTGTGTTCTGAAAAGAAGTGATTTGGTTTCGTCCAGGAATGCTTAGAGGCACAGCCAAGAAGATGCTGTCTTGTCAACGGGGGAAAGGTAAAATGTGGAAGTAAAACAGTGTAAATGAAAGGGGGGGGATCCTATGAAGAGAACTGTTTAAGGGCAGAATTTCATTTTCTACTCTGGTTTCAGAGAGGCTAAAATGCACAGATACTACAAGAAGCAAAAGAGCTCTATACTTGCTGCAGTAGCTTTCTGTGTTTGAAATATACTTGCATGTGTTATGTTGGACCTCGCTACAAGTTTTAAGGGTTGAGCAATAGTAAGAAAAAATACGTTTATCTCAGAAATCCTTGCAGAAGAAAGATTGGAGGCTGAGACCTCTAGATTCCTACTTTTAGTTTTCACTGCTCTGCTTGTTATTAGCCTTGGTATCTGCAGCCTGCAGCAGCTGCCTGTATTTCATTTTGGGCTCCTTCCCTGGTGGTACTGTCAGGGCACTAGAGTCCAGGACTGGTTTTAGTAAGTTTTTTTGGGGGGAGGGGGGGACAGACTACCACAGCAATAATGATCTTGAAGCCGTTATTGTAATTTCTGTTGGAGAAGTTAGTGACAATACTGTGTGACTGCTTTACAGCTATGACCTCACAGTTAGGGTTGACTTTGTAAGGCAGTATGCATTTGATTTGGAAAGAGTTTCCAATAGAATTAGTTTGCAGGGGTAAGTATGGTGGAAATTAAAACATCAGGAGGTTGGTAGGCCAGGAGAGTGTTGAATTAGAAGACTATAGTCTTCAAGAACTATTCTCATCAGTTGTACAGAACTTGTTGATTTCATGTGGTGAAATTAGGGGTGCTTGGTGCTTGGAAAATCAACCAGAAGCTGTTGCAAAGAGCAGGGTCTTGCAGATATGTGTGAGAGCACAAATTGTTAACAATGTCCATTCTATATAGGTTTAAAATAAGGACTTCTAAGAGGTATAGAATAATTTCTGAAATAGAATGCATTACTTGAGATTTATACTTCAGGGTGCTGTGCAGATTGAACCAAGATTGGTGGATTAGGTTCTGAATGTCTAATTTGGAAAAGTGTTAAACATTGGATTTCAGACCATAGTCACTAAGTTACTGAATTGCTTAAAATTAAGCTTATGTTTAAACACTGAGCTGCACTCTGAATAAAAATGTGGTTTGTGTTCAGTTCAGCATTTACTGTGCTTCTGAAAAAATTCTGTATGGTCTGTAGAGAATTTCCACTTCCTGACAAATAACTTGTAAGATTTTGAAAATGTTTTCTTTCACCCAGCAGGTGACAGATCAGATGCAAACAGAATCTTTACCTCCATGTCCCAACACGGTGTCACCGGTACGGTTAAATAATCTGATCAGTTCTCCAAGGTTCGGAACAGTTACTCCAAATCGTGTCTTTGTGGGAGGAATTGATTTTAAGGTATATTTTTCCTATTTTTGCTGCTAAATGATAATGTATAACCCTATAAAAATCAACAGGAAAGAGAGAGACAGTCATGTGCTTGCTTAGGTGGTAAGTGCCCTTCAATGTAGTATCCAAATCAATAGTAGAGAATAAAACTTTAAGCCTTGATTTACATATCTGTCCTACAAAGCTGGCTTGGTACACTCTGCTGCTAGAAGCTTTTGACAAACCAGATCTTCAGAATTTTCTCTATTCAAAGAAGATGGCTTTTGTCATCAGTAGAGCTTGTGGTAGAAAAGTATGTAGAAGTTTTTTTTATAATACCTAGTGTAATTTAATAAACTGTCACAATGTTACATATGGCAAACAAGGCAAATGTCAGTAGCTTTAGTTCCTCCAGCACTTCTCTTCTGGTTCATACAAAGAAGCTACAGTGCAACTATTCCTCACTTGCCACAGCAATTTTCTCCGAGACAAGTGTTTGGTTTTAAAACATATGAAAGCTTGGCCGGGTAATTTGCAGTACTAATCTTAATTCTTAGAATGCTTGTGCCTTTGTGTATCCCCGAAAACCCTCAAGTAGCAGTGAATATTGAGCTGCTCTGGTTAGTACTTTCAACTTTCAACTAGGACTTGAGTACTACTGGTTGGTGCTTTCAACATTTCTGACAAGGTACTTGGCAGATCTTTATACCAGCTACTCCCGTCTTTTTTGTTCTTCCTACTTCAGGTAATCCACTGACTTTGACATGCTTGGTCTGCTTAGCTGATGTTTTGTTCCTGCCAAGAGTATAGTCTCTTCCTTAATCCTCCTAGACTGAGGATCTTTTGAGTGCTGACTCATTTGAAGAGGAATAAGAATTTACAATTCAGACTATTTTGCATAACAAGTACAAGAAACTCCAGGATCTTCTAGCTCTTTGGCTGAGATAATTCAAATAGACATGTTTGTAACTTGAGATGTTGTACAAGGCCTTCAGGATATTTGAGCTTTATCAAAGAGGCACAGAAGCTTTTTGCACTAATAGTAAGCAAATGACTAGAGGTATAAAAAGGCCTCACTCTGTTCTGTCTGCACTGCAATTTCAGAGGTTAAAACACTTTTCTGCCTAACGTACCAATATTTTTGGTAGTTATCCTCCCTATTGTTCATTTTGAGGGGTTGCTTGACTTCTTGGTTCAGTTGCTGATACTTCAAAGTTTATTATTAATCTTATTTTTAACAACAGAGTTTAAGCATGCTTGTAAGCAAAAACAAGATGGAATTTTGCTGGGGGGATGAAACCTATATAAACATTTTAGCTACTCTTCCATTTGCTATGGCTCTTTATATCAAACAGTCTTAAATTTCTTATCAAACCATATGATTTTTCTGTCAGTCTTGTTTTCTGTTGGAAATCTCATGGCAAAAAGGATTTGGTTTCATTGGGTTTTCTTACCCCAAAAGTCTTACTCAGGTCAGTTGGGGATATATAAAAGCTACTTATTTTATTTTTGTGAAAAAGGGAGACACTAAACTAAAACTTATTTGCTTTCCAGCAAGCTCTTATATGATTTTGCCAGGCACCACCATTTGGTCTATCACTGTAGCAGTGATTCCTGTTTGTAAGAGGAAACATCTGGCTTCGTAAATTGAGAGAAACAGTTCAGTAAGAGAAGTTGGAAACATTTTCATCTTGGTATGAAGAGCACTTTCTTTAGTGGTGTGGTCCACATGTCTTAGGCTAGTGCTAAGTCTTTGCCTGTGTCATTCTCAAGAATGTGACAAATGCCTTTGTCTTAAAAACAGGAAAAGGCAAGTCCTGAGGTGTTTCTGGTAAGCTTCTCAATATCGTGTTTGTACACATAATTGCAGATTTCACTGTGTATCTTAGAACAGTGTTTTCTTCTTATTCCCCTTCAGTCACTGCTCTGCATGTGAACCTTTGTCTTTCCAAGTTTATAGTCCCGTGTAGCAATCCCTCATGTCTGGGGATGACACTTGGAGCACTGATCAGTTTTAGTCTTGGATGAGGCAGATAAACCTTTGATGTGCTGGAAAGGATCTAATAAATTGCATACATACAATTTAAAACAATGGAAGTAATTCACTTATACCAGAAGTGATGCTTTACTTCTGCTTTAATGAAAAGTATAAATGAATGATACATGCATACAACTGTAGTTCTTCCAGTGTTAGATATACTATTAAGTAAGGACTGTGTAAAAATGAAAATCTCAAATGTGGTGTTTAGGGCACCATATGTGATACATATTTACAAGATGAGAAGATTGATAGAAGGTAGGTGAGTGATGGTGTAGCTTAGGTGTGCCTGTACATTGGAAATTTGTCTTGCTCCATGTGTATTCAGAAGGGAGCAGTTTCTTCCAAGTTTTAGACCATTCACCATTAAAACAACTTTTTTTTCAACTTACAGTGGTTAGTTCCTTTGGTGTACCTGTACATATGTGCAGTCTCAAGTTAAAACTACTTCAGAAAGAGGGATCACGGTGTATTCAGTGGATTTGACCACTAAATCACTGTGGGTTAGTGGGAATTTTTTTAATAAATGTGGCCTGTGTATCTCCTTTTGGAAATCTATGTACTCTGCTGTTTTGAAGTTTGAAAATATGGTAGTGATTTTTAATACTGTAAACTGCTCTAGAATGTCATTCACAGAAACTAAAATTCAGATCTAGTAAACCTGCTTCAGTGGTCTTAGCTGTGAAAGGGCACTTGTTACATAAATCTACTAAAGAGGAGTTTTAATTACTTTCTAGTGTTATTGGTGAATAATAAATGCAGTAATTAAATGGCCTGTGAGGCTCATACTTGTTCACTCTTCTCTCTTCCTATCCAGGGTTATAATGATTTTATAGCAAACTTTATTAAAAGTATGTCCCTTAAAAGTTCTGTGGTAAATATTCATTGAATAACTATGCAAACCAACTCTTCCTTTTTTTTTTCTCTCTTGAATTACTGTACTAGACGAATGAAAATGACCTGAAGACATTTTTTGCTCAGTATGGCAGTGTGAGAGAAGTGAAGATAATAAATGACAGAGCTGGAGTATCAAAGGGGTTGGTATAGTAGAATAAGCTTTTTGTGGAATTGAAAAATATAACAGCAATCTGACTGACTCTAGGAAATTTGATTGATTTTCATAGCTCAGAACGTTAATTTTTTCATTGATCTTACCAGCTAATCTATCTTTGCAAAAATCTGATCTTGCCCTTTAATATTTCCATATAAATGTCTCGAATTCACATAACTCAAACTATAGTCATATTTGTAGAAGATGAAGCTGTGTGCAACTAGGACAAAATCAATAGTTTTCATTTTTCTAGGGTTTTTTTTTTTAGTAACAATTAATTAAGCAGCTAATTCTAAAACGGTTATTTAGTTAATGAATATATTTATTACTGAAAGGCAGTTTGGAAAGAAGCCTAAAAATGAAGCAAGAGGTGAGATACACCTGCTTATGCTGGAGTGCATGGCAGTAACTGAGATTTTTTGTGAAGACTTTTGGAACAAGAGCGTAGGGGACAAATCTGACAGTGACTCATGATTACAGAAAAGGGGGACTAAGAGTGGAAGTCAAAAGTAAGAGAAATACCAAAGAGCAAATCTGAAGAAGGATTAAGGTTGTGTAGTAAGGCTAATGCTGGAACCCAAAGGATGGTGATGCAGATAAGGTGGGGAAGTGCTCTGCCATAGAAGGGTGGGAAGGGGGCTGAAACAAAAGGGAATGTGTGTGAGAACTGGTACCTGTGAAGTTCTCTCCTGAGCCTCTCAATGCTGTCAGAGCTTAACAGGGATCAGCAGGTTACACACTGAGCTGCCAGTGAGCACTTCCAGGATATGATGGACTTGGTCCTTGTCACTAAGCCTCTGGGTCTTTTATGCAATTCCAAGAAATATGAGACTTGCAGTTTGTGTGTCCATATAACCCATAATAATTATGCAGTGTTGATTGCCAGCATATGTCTCACAGTAAATATGCTGGAAAATAATTACTTTACTTGGTGCAGGGATTTCTTTTGAAATGCAAACATAGGCTTCATTGCTTCTCCTTGAAAAGTGATTTTAAAAACTTGGGTGTATGTGATTGTCTTACTAGTTGATTGTCCAGGCAGTCCATAGAATGATAAATCTGTGTAGGTAAGGTCCCAAGTAGGAAAATAGTTTATGTTCTTTGAACATGGAAATGTCCTGGTTTGTTTAGAGAGGGCAATACAAGAAAAGCCTGTAAATTTAAAAGTATGGCTAGTCAGACTTACTGAACCTCCCTACTAAAAAGAAGCATGAAAATGCTCACAGAAAAGAACTTGTATTGCAAAATCTGATCTGCTGGCAGGAAAGACAGAGGCCACCTTGATATCATCTGTAATCTGACTGTGAGAGATGAACCATGACCCTAAAAAATTATGTGTACAAAAATACTAGAAGTTTTCAAAAATTTTGAAATTCAGATTAAGGGGTGTGGGGGGAGCATTTTTGTTTTTTACATAGGTATGATCAGATACTTACTTTGCACAGGCAATGTCACATTCAGTGGCCTAGATTGCTCTGGGAATGAATTGAGGGGGTTTGGAAAAGCAAGAGTTGTGTGTAGGAAGCCTGTTTGATTTACTGCAGCAGCTAGAAGAGGTATGGTGAAAGGCTGTGTCACAAAGAATGAGAATTGCTTCATCTGTGATCACCACAGAACTCTTTGTAATGCTAATCATGTTAAGAACTACAAGAATAATTCCCAGATAAACGTTATCTCTGCACTGCTGCTTTTTCTAAGACCTCAGTTTAAAACGGTGAATAGTGCATGAGGAAGTGTGGAGCATTCACAATTGTTTCTGAAGTAGGTTGGAGCTGTACTATAAATTACAGTATAATAATAATTTAAGATTAAAAAAAAAATCCCAAGTTTCTCATCTTGGTCACCCACAAGAATTCAAAGCTTTAGATCAAAATGTTTGTTTAATAGCAATGAAGGAACTTAAGACATAGGCTGAGTAACAAGGATAGCTTTCTATGTGGGCTGCTTATTCACAGTGTACATTACCACATGCTTAAATATAATAAGAAAGCTGTGAAGAATACAGTTGTTACTGCAATCTTTACTTCTATTGTTTTTTTTTACCTGTTAATTTGCCTTGTAATGTCACTCATACTGTATATCAACAAGCAATGTGCAGTGTTTGTAAATATGAACTTCAGAGGCTTAACATCTGTAATTTTTATTTAGGTATGGCTTCGTCACTTTTGAAACCCAGGAAGAGGCACAGAAGATTTTACAAGATGTAAGCAATAGTCCCCCTTGTGTTTCTCTTTTAAATAATTCATTTCACATTAGACACGAGTAGCTCTGCTTGTGTGATCCTCTGTTTGCCAAGTTACATTTGAAGATCTGCTAAGTTTGGTCTCCTGGTTAATAAAATGGTTTAAAGAGGTCCAAGATAAGATTTATACTGAGGTCTTCTGGAACTAGGGAAGGAAAGTGCTAGTTCATAGTACTGTTCTTGACTATGACATCCAATCTTTATGTTCTTGATCTGTATGTGGTCTGCAGTAAGTATAGAGTTATAAAAACTTCATCCTTCAGAATTGCTTTCATTTGCTTTACTAGGAAATCCACTCTTGTCAAGATTTTTTTGCAGGGAGTTGGGAAAATAACTATCTTTTATTTTGTCATGTTTGTTTGTCAGACCTAATGTAATTGTTTTTAGAGACAATTAGGTTCACTTGAAGTCTTAAATAATTAAGCTCGTGTCATGTACCTTTTGCTTCTCCTCTAAGCTACATTACTGTGCTGACACTGCTTGTAGAGTCTCCCTTGAGACATGCTTAGCTCTTCAGCTGTATGTTGGTTGGAGCTTATTGGAAAGATCTGTCACTCAGATTTTACTCATTCATATGAAAATCCAGGTGGAGGGGGAAAAAAAGGCTCAGAGGAAATGGCACCTAAGATTTGCAAATTGCCTTCTCACAATTTCTAAGGCTGGTTAAAATGTTGAAACTTGGAACCTCTGGAAACTTTTGTATTAAAATTCAAAATAAGAACTGAGACATTTTCAAAGGAATTTTCAGTGTGTTTTCAAGAAATAGTTATGTGGAGCCACAGACAGGAAATTTTTGAGTCAGCTGTTTTTCTTCCTCTCTTGTTTTTACTGCTTTATTTCTGTAAACTAAACACTAATGGTACTGAGTACCATTGTGAAAATGGTTTAATATATTTGCCTCTGTAACTGAAAGGCTGCTCCATGTGAAGTCTTACTGATGCCTTACTTTGCCTACTCTGTCCTTTAGTTGAAACATTCTGCAGTTCTGTCACCTCTTTCATCTTTACATATTTCTGCTATTTCACAGTCAACTTGTAGCATCTGGGTCTTTCTGCATCTTAGACTGAGAGTTTCTAGACTTAACATAGGAAATCAATGTTTTTCATTTTGTACTCTTGAATTTATTTTTATATGATGTTCTGCTCATCCTTTGGACTGATTTGGGTTTTTTTTTTTTGTATCCTACTTTTCTATTGTGAGTAATGTCTCCAGAAATTTCTCTTTCTATGTTGCAGTCTTCTAAATTACTAAATTGTGTTAGTATTGAGAACAGACCTTGAGGAGTTTCACCAGGTTACTCTTTCTGGTCATATCCTATTAATACTAGTATTTCTTCTTTCTATCTTTCTGAAGAGATTTTTTTTTTTTATTAATTACAGTTTCTCCTCCTAGTCTTCACTTTCTGTAGCATCATATGTAATTTTGCATGCATTGCTGTGTTCTTGCTTTGGAGAAATCTGTACAGATTAGATATTTCTGTCTACTGTGAAAGTTGTGCATAAAAAAATATTTCTAACCTCTGGTAGATCACATCAGTGGAACACTGCTTTGGGAAGAATCATCTTCATGTTGTTTGTGTTGGAATGCAGTTTGACTGAAATGTACATCTGTTTTCTAGGAGTTGCTCTGTGTTTTAATAGGTTCTGTGTTTTAATAAGCATAGGTATGTTTGCCATAATTAATATTAGTTTATGAAGTCCCAAATGGAACAAAATAGTTTAACCTCTTCCCTGCTTTAAATCTAAAAGGTGGGAAGTTCTGAGGCAGCTGTGAGTGAATATGGGCATGTTACATTCAGTCCTTATAATCTGGCCACTTTCATAGACTTCCTTGTTCCTGTCTCTTGTAAAATATTGTCATGATCACAAAAAAAATTTAGTCTTTATATTTCAAATTGTCTGTTTATGTACACATGTGCAGTAAATGCATGAGAGCTAAAATGGAAAATACTCTACTGAAAAGTATAGGTGCCAGTTGCAAATAAAAAGGCTCCATGAAGAGTAAGTAATGCTTGAAATGACTAATGATTAATTTTGTGTATGTACAGTCTAAAGTTAGGATGGAAAAGGAACTAGTGTAGCTTGTGTGGGGTTTTTTTGCAATGCATTTTAAATAAAAAGCAAGGGAGGATGAAACCTAGTAAGTGCCTTGTCTGCTTGTGATTTTCATTTCTCAGATGCCTATATGTGTGCAGAAAATAATGTTTTTCTTTACTTCTAGGCTAAAAAACTCAATTATAAGGATAAGAAATTGAATATTGGTCCAGCAATACGAAAACAACAACTACGAAGTCCTAATGCTCGTATGTATCTTTACTTGTACTTGTGTATTATGTGTCATTATGAATATAAGTTTTAAAGTGAGATGTACCTGCTCTAGCACGGCATTAATGCTGTGCACGGAATATGCTCAGAGCAGTTTGCAGTGGAAGTAAATGTGTACCAGTGGAAATGTCCAGTTAAATACATTTATGGTCCTTTGGTTCTTTTATCTCTCTTAATATGTTGTTTGTTTACTTTATTGGAAAAGGTTACTTATCTAAGAACAGTGGAAATTCAGATTGCCTGGCAGAACCTTAAATCTAAAGATCTAGACTGTCCTGGCAGGTTCTGCGGTATAAATCAGGCTGTGCTGGTTAGTTGCACTGTTACTCATTGGTTTATGTTGTCAAAATCCATCAGGACAGTTGCATCTTGCTTTCTTTGTTAGAACCATAAGGAATGAGTGGTTACAGTCACCAGCCTGTTCTTGAGTTGTTTGCTGTGGTACCTTTTGGAAGAGTTAGGAAGAAGCCCAACCTTTTGCTCATCTTCAGTCAGAGGACAATGCAAAAGAATGTTGGTTCAATTCTGATGCTTTCTTTAGTTTCCATCATGTTACCTGTCAGAAGTAGTTCATGTGTACAGTAATGCTGTTGGTGCAGATGTACCTGCTGAAGACAGGAAGTGTGCTGCTTCCTTCCTCCCCTTGTGCCTAGGTATGCCCTTTTCCCTTGTGTTAGTGTATGGGATATTGTTTCCCCAGGGGAAAGCAAATCCTTTGTTCCAACTGTATGGCTTCTTTGCTCTAGAAATTATTCAGTGTGATCTTTGCTCAGTCATCATCAAGAGGTGTTATGCCTTTGTTTTTTTTCCCCTGTGCGTTATTTCCCTTTCCATCTTTGACTTGTACTTCCTCAGTTGTGTTGCCTGACTTGTGGTGCTTCCTTTGTCTGACTCTTGTGCTGAATGTGTATGTTGATAGAAAAGAGACATCTCTATGTTATAATTCTGAGATGTGAGGGAACAGGGGTTAGAAAAAAAATCTTGAAGAAAGCTGATGTGTCCTTTTGAGATCTGTGTTTGTGGACCTGTTCAACTACCTCTACCCTCTCATGCCTAGGATAGTTCTGTGATACAAGATCATATTGCCATCCAGGATGTATCCTAGGGTTTGATTTCAGTGTGTCTGCTCTCATGCTCAACCTATCTAACCTTAGTTGCTAGGGTACTTTGTCCTATTGCAGCTCATCTTGGGGTACATGAAGCCAGAACACCTAGACTTGCAATATCACTGTAGAGCTGTGGTTCTGTTATGTTGGGCAGAATTAAAGGGCTGGCCAATATATTGCTGTCCTCTACAGCCCACATATAATCTAGTGCCTGTCTTCCATACTATTAAGCAAAATGAGTTTTTAGCTCTTCTGTCATCATAGGACGTTTTGTGGTAAGTGCTTTGAACATACTGGGAGGGCCACTTGGTTTGCTTTTCCCCAGCATCACAATGTGTTTTTCCATCACAGTGAGTTTGCTGGGATGGATGGAGATTTCCTTTTCCTTTGCCAGAGACTTGCTCAACATGGGCAGAAAGTTTGTGCAGTGTACTCTGTAGTTAGTGAAGTGGACAGGATTGTTGGCAGTGGGATCCTGTTGATCTCATTTGAGATGTCAGTAACTGCTGTTCTAGATTGCTTGCTGGAGCTGGAACAGCCTTTATGTTTTTAAAGGTATACTTAACATTATCTTAACAAGCATCTTAACCTGACCTGTCTGTGGATAACATTTCAGCTGTATTGTATCCAAGTGTCTTCAGGCTTTTCTGGGTCTTAGGCAAACTCTTACTATCAATAAAAGCTCTTGAATCACTGTGGGCCTTCTTGGTCTTCCACTTAGTGTAGTGGTGACCTCTGCAGTGTTCTGTCTGTCCATAAAATGGCACTTTGTGGTGGCACACCTTTGCAAGGCGAGGTGGAAAACTGAAAATTGTTTGGTGATTTTCTTTATGTTGTGTTCTTCCTGATTTTTTTTTTTCTGTGCCATGTTACGACTTTGTTATTTCAAGATTTCCATTTCAGTTACAGAATTAATTTTCTTTTTTTTTCCCTACAGAAATCTCGTCATATTTGAGACTGAAATTTGTCTTCATGTTTGACTCAGTTTTGGAAAAACAAAGTCCTGTCCTAGCCACCCCTAAAATGTAGAGAGGAATAGAGTTTAGGTGATGTCAGAGACAGTGTTTGAAGGGGAGAGACAATCTGTGCTTAGGGTGGAGATCCCTTTATTTGAATAGCACCTGCTGTCAGCACCTGTCAGAGGGCAGTGCAGGTGGAACTCTGCTTTGAGATCAGACCATGCTGACTTGTAGGCTCTGTGACAGTGACAGCATTGCTGAGAAATGTCCCTGTTGCTGATGTCTGTAAAATGAGTCTTTACGTTTGACAGTCTTTACTGAGAAACCAGACAGCACCTTGTAATACAATAATTGTTGGTTTTAGTGCTTGAATTCTGTTTCAGCTAAATATGAGGATGTGGAGGTCACCCATCAAAATCTCCTATAATGTCAAATTACTTTTGGACATTTGGAGATGAAAAATATATGTATTTGTAGGTACCTGGAGTTACCTGTGTTTGTCAGTTTATATGCCTGTCATCTTTTGCAGCTCTTCCCATCTACCTCTGGAGACATCCTGTGACCATCTGCCTTCATGGTTTTGTGTTTGAGAGGGAATTGAGATGGCACTAGGCACACTGCTCCATGTTCTTTCCTTGGAGTATTTTCTTTCTCTGAAGATCAGAAATGATCTTCCCTTATTTTTTTTCATGGTGTACACATCTAAAAAATATTTGTGAATAAGCTTTAAAATATCTATTCCAGGTTCTGCTGTAACACCCCAAGCTGGTACAATGTACACAACAACTGCTGTATCACCGGAAGCTGGTACAATGTACTTGACCACTTCGAGTGGATATCCATATGTTTACCATAATGGAGTGGCTTATTTTCATACATCTGAAGTCTCTCCTGTTCAGCAACCGTGGCCAGTAAGTAATTCATTTTGGTATATTTGCTTTTTCTGTGGACCAGGATGAGTGGAGTGTTTGAAGTCCCTCATACTTTGTTTCTTCAGCTGTGCCTCATGTTAGATGTTTAAATGGCTTCCTTATGTTAGACTGTTTATTTCGTCCTTTTTATATCACTTCAGTTTATTTTGCTTCTGCAGTGGACTCTTGCTTTGGTCTGACCTGTTGGACAGGATAGTCTGTATCAGTCTGGGCCTTACCCCAGGAGAAGTTCTGTTTTACTATCTCTAGACAGTGATGGGCTAGTGCTTTCTGGAAAGAACTCAGTGAATGTGCCAGGGATTTTTATTTCATCTAACACAGGCTCTTAGAAACAGTGATTTTGAGTAATCTTAAGTTGAAGTTAACTTGGTAAATGCATTTTCAAAAGGGAGGGGAGGTGGTTCAGCATTATAGTGCTCTGGAGCTGTGCTTAATAGGAGTGCCAATTTATGAAATTGCTGCATTAAGACTTTGAACTCTTTATTTTTGCAGTCACGCTCAGTTTCCAGTTCCCCTGTGATGGTGGCGCCTCCAGTTTATCAGTCTCCTACATATCATTATCAGGTATCTGTTTAAAAATGGCTTGCAGACAAACACTGTTCCTCCAGCCATGCAGCACTATTTGCAGCACTGTTTGCAGCACTGTCACAGCCGTTTGTTATTGGGAAGTAAAAAGTGATAGCAAACACATTTTAGTTTCATTGGCTACTTTCTTTAACCAACAGTTTATCCTCCTTATGTAATGCCATGATAATATATTAGTTTTCTTTTGTGTTGCAAGACAACTGGCTTAGTACCAACCTCTTATCATCTAAGCCAAACTCCTGCTGGAGCAGGACTGGTTAGATCAGTTTTCTTGGGTACTTTTCCAGTTGGATTTTAAATAGCTCCAGTGATAGAGATTCCACGACCTTTCTGGATAGCCTCTTGCAATAATTGACCCCTCTCTCATAGTACAAAAAGACTTTTTTCCTTATAACTACAACATTTTCAGTGTTCCCACTAGGGTCCATTGATTCTTGTGGTCTGAACACGTCTGCTGAGAATCTGATTTAAGTATTTTTGAAGCTTATGAAATGGCCAAGTCAGAGGCTGAGTGAATAAAAATATTCCTGAATATTTTTATGAATAAAAATTTATTAATACAATGTTTTTATGAATAAAAATGTTCCTGAACTTTTTGCAACTTTAATGAAAATTTTTCTCTTGTTTTTAGTTTATTAGAAATAATTATAGATTTGACATGATTGTGGTTTAGTATGTTAGGAATTCTGGTATTCAGTGTGTATGTATATGTTCTTAATCACATTTGGTAACATCTTTTTGTTTGATTTTAGGCACCAACACAATGTTTTTCGAGTCAGTGGCAATGGTCTGTTCTACAGGTAAATACAGTTCATAGTTGCAGCATTTTAGTATTCATTTCACCTTGTTCAAAGGTATGGTGCACTTATCTAACTGTGACACTTCCCACTATTCACAGCTTAGTTGAAATGAGTATTAATTGCTGTGTTTTAGCAGTGCACTTACAAGATTTGCTGATACAGCAGAAGGCATAAAATAGCATCTATTGCAACATCAAATACAAATCTGATGTAAAGAAAGCATCTTTACCCTTGCCTCTCACTTTGGCAAAAAAGTTTGTAATAAATTACCTAATAAGTTGTCAGAAGCAGGTGAAAACTGTCAAATTCTGCTGAGAAATGAGTTTTAAGTAGCTAACGATCTGATAGTGTGATGTTTCAAAGAAGTATTGTTAGCAGAAGCATGTAGATGCAGAAGTAGGGTGAAGTTAGACTCAGACCCTTGAAATAGGAGGAAGAACTTGAAATTGGTGACTTGGTCATTTTGGGGGGAGAGTGTATTGGGTTTGTGATCTCTGTAGCAGAGCAGCTTCAAATGGCAATCTTGACACTCAAGGAACTTGAAGAGTTTGAAGCTGAAGGGCCTGAGTCCTTTAAGATTGAACTCATTACAGTGGGGCCTCATTACTTTAGTAGCAGCCAGCCTTGTCCAGCTATGGACAGGTTCCACTCTAATAGATCAATCTGCTGCTTTGAAATTGGAGTGCTGAGGTACAGAAAATACTGGGGGGGGTGTTTTAAAACAAAAATGCTTGGTTTGCTACTGTAACATTTTTGCAAGGGAAGATTTTAAATGTAGTATGTTGTTGTGATCTTGAGACTAAGTGTCAATTTTACAAGTTTTATGATTTGTCTAACAATGCTCTCCAAAATGTAAATAAAATCTGAAAACTATGAAAAAATTACTAAAGAATGTTTTGGGGTTTTTTTCCTTCCTCTTACCTGACCTTCCTACCCACTTCCCACTCACTTTTTCTTTTGTTATCAAGGATGAATTTGACACTTCCTTCTAAGGCTGTGTCTCCGTTTATATGTAGCAAAGAAGATTGTAAAATAAATTTTGGTCTTTACAGTGCCTAAATAATGTAATTGATTAAAATAATGTGCTTTATTTCAGTCTCCTACCTCTTCACCTCCACTCTTATATCTGCAACCATCTGAAGTCTTTTATCAGCCAATAGGAATTACCCAGGAAGGTGGATGTATATCTCCACCTCTGCTAATGGAAGCTACAGTTCCTGAGGTATTTTTAAAAAGTAAAAGAAAGTACTGACAATTGAAGTGTTTTTCTGCAACTGAAAAACATAATGTTTTAATTTAAGCACTGGCTGTTCAGAACACTTAGGTCAATTGTTCCTGTACCCATGCTGCTGTTAAATAATTTCAGGTGTCCTCAAGTTAGAGTTTCTCTTCCATTTTTCTCAGAGGATGCTTTGATTCTGAAATATTTTTGAGGGTCAGAAGTGTATTACAGACAGCAGTATAAGGGCTAGTCAGTTTGTTTCATTTGTAAGTAATGTTTAAGTCAAATGGGAATCAGATTCTTTGGAATGCTGGGTTAATATACCCAAACCATAGTAGTTTTCTGAAGTGATTCTTCTGTGCAGATAGAAGCTTGTGTCTAAATATTGCAATGATCCAAATGAATTATGGGTGGTTGAATGATTGAATTGTTTACAATTTTTTTGCTTCTGTATCAGTAGCATTTATAATACTAGTCAAGAGATTCCTGATGTACAATAAGGCAATCTCTTCATAGTTGGATATTAGAAATGACAGTAAAAGGCTACAGAAAAATATAATCTTACATTTTTTATTCTATATTAATTGGTACTTCTCTTAAATATTCATTCCTTATGAATAGGGATTCCAAAACAGATGTTAAATTAGGACAATAATCAAATATTGTTTCAAAAGTTAATGCGTATTTTGTTGCCAAGAGAAGTTACAAAATGGGTGTTTCAGATATCTTAAGTGGAAAATTCTGGCATACCAAAGTAATTTAATTTCCCTACAAAGACACAGAATTAATACAAGACATGGATTGTTGGGGTTTTGTTTTTGAAAGTGTATAAATCTTGGTATTTATTCTATAATTATAATATTATTAACAGTACTGCTATTTTACCTTTAGTATTTCATGAATCAGATATAAACTTGTACAGAGAAATTTGAAATATGTGAGCACTAAGAAAATAGAATTAGTTAAGGAATACTTGGGTATAATGGGCTCTTGGTTTGCAGGTAGGCAATTTGTTCATGTTAAAGGAAGCAGTGTGTGGAATTTTAGAAGAATGGTGTAAAATTCCAAGAGTAATCTGTATTATTTGTATGTAAATATCTTGTAAGTCTGCTAATGCTGGGAATTACACTTCAGTGTGTGAATTGACACATTTAAACGCTGTTCCAGTTAGAGTTGAGGGAAATGGATGTGTAGTAAAGCTGCTACTTCTGTCAAGGAAAGTGATTTGTGATGCTGATCAAGATAAATGAAGTTTACCAAAGTTTGGTACAGTGGGGAAAACATAGACTTAAATATTTAAATTGTGGGTTTTAAAAAGTCAGTAGTTCAGATAAACATGGCCCAAAATTTGACATTTCTAAGGATTCTAAATTCATGTGAAAGGCTTGCAAAAAAGTAAGTTTATAAAACAGGTTTTTCTGCTATTTTTTTTTTTCTTTTATAGCAGCTGTATTCTGATCATGGAGTTCAAACACTGCATCACCAGCCTTATGCCCAGAGTCACATAGCCATGCCTGCAGCTGTGAGTATCAAACCAAGAGAGTTAAAGCAAGCATTTTGCAGTATTACTGTCCCCTTTCTTGAAGGGGGGACAGTAAGAGAAGAGGGATGTGGGTGAAAAAGTCTTTTATTAATGGTAAGGAAAATTGAAAAAGTCTTTTATTAATGATAAGGAAAATTGGAAGCATTATAGAGAAACTGAGATTTTTTTCTTCACCTGAAGCTTTGTTACAGAGGACATACAATTTACTTACTTTGGAACTATTTGGGGAAACTAAAAAATAAGAGCATGGCTAGTTATTTTAAGATTGAGATACAAAGAAAATACAAATGAAAAACTTATTTTGAGAGAAAATGGTGAACCTCATTCAGTTCTTTGAAATATTGGTTACAAATCTTTGTCTCTTGGCTCTGGGTCTCGACATTGAATTCCTTTCTTTCAGCCTTGTGTTGAACCTCATGTTAAGGAGAGGTGGGAATTTGAAACCTGGAACATGAAAAACTGTCCCAGGTGGTCACCTCTAGGTGTCTTTCTGTGCAGTTCTGATTTAGAAAGGCCATTTTAAAATATGATTATTCCATGTCACCTGATGCAGGTTGTTGGATGTTTTTGGCTCCCAGTTTAAGGTCCTTTTATCTAAATTAATAAGGCTGTTCACTCTAAAATAATATCAAAACAGATTTGCCTGATAACAAAGATCTAAAGTTATCAGTAGTTGATATTACAGCACTTACTCTTCTGTGAAAGATGCTTACTCAGCTGCAAGTGGCAGACTAAATAGGAGTGGAATAAAAGCCATGTTATAGGCTAACTTTTTAATGTATTTTTAATTTATTTTACTTATTCTGGAAGAATTTTTTTCAGACTCTTGTGTAACAATATGTACTAAATATTTCCAGCAGAGGGGGCTGTAACATAAGTGTCGTCTTGGAATAAACTGCACTATATTTCCTGCTCGTTTTTCCTGGTTTTCTCAGAAATCTTGTTATCTAGAATTGAAACTCTGTTCAGGTCTCAAGTAGATTCACAGGTACAGTTTCAAAGACATACTGAATCCTTTTTTTATTATTATTCATTACAAGATGATGCCAAATAATAGTTAGTAGTTCTAAAACACAGTTCTTCCCCTGAAAGTTTCAAGTTATCTTTTCACATACCCACTTGGAGTTGGAATATATCTCATGTGTAATGAATGTGATCAGCTTGTACTGTCTGTCAGTGTGGCTGAGCTCTCAGCAAATGATGGAAAAAAGCAAATGCTGTCAGCAGACTGCTCTGTATGAAGCAGGTGGTGTGTCATTACTCCCCAGCTGTATAAGAACACTGCCTGGTAACTTAGTCTTCTTAAAATACCCCAACAAATATATCTGCTGCTTGAAAACTGCCAAATAGTGGCCATAGAGGAGAAAGCAGGAGCCTAAAGGAGTGACTTCACCTTGAAGGTAGTCTGCTGGTTGCCTCTACTGCATTAGGAATTGCACTGGGAATAAATATCCACTTTATACTAGGTGAGTCATGTGGTGACAGTGGGATGGGTACAGCCAATATCCAGGTGTCTTTGGCAATTGTAGACTTCTTACAGCTTTCAAATGCAGCTCAAAACAGAGCATGCATTGCAGTCATAATTAAAAGAAATCACAGGAGTGAGCAAGCAAAATGGATGAGATACCAAATGAAGAAAATCACAAATTTTGAAGTCAGTGTTTCCAGTGCTGTACAAGTGTATAAGAAGAACTCGGTCCATTTGTCGTGTAAACCATGTAGCAGTTAACAAAGGAAGCTTCAGTTCTGGCAATTCTTAGTTTTTCATTCTCTGTTTTACCCCTTGAGTTACATCAAAAAAAATGCTATTTTTTAATAAAAAATTTTTAGTAGTGCTAAAGGAAATTTAGAAGAAAATCTTAGATTCAAATTCTGTATTTAAAATCAATTTTGAATCAAAAATACTACTCTCTACATTAATCTCTATATCACCCTCCAATACAGAGATTAATGTTTGGATGCTCCTAGCGGGATATGTATGAGATGGTGTGGTCTACAGTAATAGGGGAAACTTGAGGGGAGAATTGAAGTTTGTGGGGTTTTTATTTTTATTTTGTTTTTTCTGGGTGATTATCTTGTTATGAGGCCCTGGCCTGGTAAAGGTGTATGAGGGAGACCCTGAAGCCTGAGGGGCTGAGCAACACAGTTGCAGTCTGCAAATAGTGAGCAGAGTATAAAAGGTTCTGCCCTGTGGAGGTGGGCATATGGGTGGGGTTTATTTTGTTTCCTGCTTTTGCCTTTTTTCTTATTATTCATCCCTTTGAGCTGCAGTGTACCTGTTGGGGGGTAGGCATGGTTCTAGTCTGTCAGAGTTGCTACTGTTCCCATAGTCTGTCTCCAACAGAATGTCTTGGCTGACATGAGCAGTGCCAGATCATAGTGTCATTTGTGTTGTAGTTCATGTATAGTTGAATTCAGATCTTAATGGTGTGAATGGCCTGTGGCACCATGGCCTTCTGGTAGTGAGCCTTCTGTAACTGTAACTGAGCTTAGTGCACTCTGGTTTTCTCTGCAGTTAAGTGTAATAAGGTAAGACTTGTGTTCTCTGTGTGTATAATACACAGAAATACATATGTGTTTATAAATGTTTGTGTATATACACATGCAAGTAGATAAACATGTTTTTTCTAAGAGTTTTGATGTAACCACTTGGGGGAAAAGTTCAGTAATTTTATACTAGTACTGCATGTTATTGTCTGATATTCCATCTGAAACAGTAAATAGTACAACCTATTTTCTCTATAGGTAAGTATTTTTTTCATTTATACATGCAGTGGAACAGAATAAACCTCTTGTTTAAAGTTACATTAGTCTAAGTAATGTGAATATAAACTTCCAGTTGTCAGCATTTGATTGCCAAGAGGCTTGTCACTGGCTGTAGCAAGGTCTGTTGCCTGTAAAACAGGCAAACTCCACCAAAACTGTATTTGCTAATTTGATATGAACATGGAAAGATGCAGGTAGCATGCTTTTTCTCACACTGTTTAATTCTGTGCTCTCTTTACAAACTCCTCTAATAGTTTCTTCTCACTTCAGTTTAGTGGGTTTGTTCTTTTGTTTTCTCTGATCTATATGTTCTCTCTCTTTACTTGACAACCTATGGAGCATTCACTGTTGAAGCATGTGGGCAACTCTAGCCTATCTATATTGATTTATTATTTTTTTTCTTGTCCAGTCCTTCCTGTGTGGCTGAGATCCATCATCAACATACCAGCTAGCAGCTGCGAGTTGTGGAAAACTTGGGGTCAGTTGTTTCATTGCAATGGTTGCTATTTATGAGTTGGTGCATAATAAAACATGCTCAGGTCTAGCATAGCCTGCAGCATTACTTAGCTGCTTCCTGAAGTTTGCCAGTTGCCTAATGATTTTCTTGATAAAACAAATCCTGTATAATCAGTGTAATTCATTCCTGGGTAATAGTGTAGATATAAATGCCATCATTTTATTTTTAGGTTAAGGGCCCAAGTTTTATGAGTTTAGATTGTTATCCTTCAACAGAGAAGGAAATTTTCAATATTTCCAACATGATTTTTGGTTTCTGAAAACTGTTTTAATTCCTCTATTGACAGCTCAATTTCTTCCCCTTTTCTCCCTATTTTATGCTGTTTACAATAACTCATTCATGGGGTTGTACTCTGGCAGGTGCTCAGTCATGCTTTTACTGTGAAAAAGCTACCTCTTCTAGTTGTTTACACTTTTAAAAACATCAGGGTTTTAATAAAAGGAAGCTAGGGAGGAATGCATATTTTGCACATGTTAAAATTATTGTAATTTCTTATTTGATACTTTCAACAACCCACTAATTTGTAGCAGGGCCTTACTATTTGTGAAGGTCTGACTTGTCTGTGTAGGTGCCCATATGATTTATCCCCAGCTATGGCTTCTAAACAAATACTAGAAGTTTGCCAGTGCAAAACTGAACACAGTTTTCTCAGTAGAGAAAGAGAAAACGTGTTAGTGTTCCGCATATACTAGTAAAGGAGCCAAACTAAAGAAAAAGAGAAGTACTTTGGGATTGAATTTCTGTAAGGTTGATGTAATGAAAACTAATGACCATGGGACCTTGAAATTTTGGGAAGCAATGCACAACATGGTGCAGAGCCAGTAGATGATGGAAAAAACCTGCCATCTGGAGATGATAGTGGGCTGAATATCTGGATAGAGGTGTTTGAACTACAGCTGGTTGCATTAGGAAACTGTCAGAGCCAAAAAGGAGGGTAAAAAGTTAGTTAGTGCTGAAAAGGCCTGAGCTAGTAAGAAGGTTAGAAAACAAACAGTTTGAGGCTGTCATATGGAGCAGTTAAATGGAGAGAGTAAAAGAGATGGGAGTTGCACACTGGGGCTACAGAGCAGCTGAGATAAAAAGGGAGACTGCAGGAAAACTTTCTCTTCGGAAGAATAAACAGAAGAGTACAAGTATTCGAAGAACTGTTTGTGCCAGAACCTAAACAGTAGCTATGTTTTCTGCAACTTGCTTTTTGTCAGTGGCATGCACTAACAAATTACTTAGGCACAGTCCATTGCCTGTTTGTCAGTTGCCTGTTTACAAATTAGGCAGCTTTCAGTTCTGTAGCTCAGATTTTATAAATGTGTTAGCTACTAAAACCTTCCTGTAAGTATTATTATAAATACCTATAGTAATGCATTGCTCTAATCTATGTTAAAGAGAATGCTAAGGTAAAAAAAAAAGAATTGGTTAAATAGTTTTGTACTGTGACATTTTGTAACAATTTTCCCCATCTAATTAGACAGAGGATACAATTGCTTTAATAACTTGACATACTTTAGTGAGACTGTATGATCAATGAACAAAGCTGGGTTATTTTTTTTATAAAAGAATTCTGAACTCATTCTAAGATTCCATACTTGTAAATAAAGGAAGATATTTCCTACCACTATGTACTTCATCAAGGTGCATAATGGAAATTTGTTTTCCCTTTTTGGACCAAGTTTGTTTAGCTCATGCAATACCACACTGGACTGTAACTTTTCATTGAAGCATTATTAATTTAGTAAATGGGACACACTTTGAAATGGAAACAACAAAGTATTTTTCCCTCTCTTTAGGAATTGAAGTCACGTTCTGTGAGAAGAAGTTTTTCACATCCTTCGTCTGTGAGTCTGAAACCTCAGTATGCATGAAGTCATCATTTTCATCCTAGCAAAGATCACAGAATGGAAGAGTGCATTCTTACACTATTTTCTACAGATACTGTAAAACACTCTTTTTAGCCATGTACTGTGCTAACGTACCTATCCCATGGAGGGAATGTTCTTCCTGACTGGTTACATTTGCCTACAAGTGCCTCAGTTAATATGCTACTCTTTTTTGTCAAGTCACAGAATGAAATTTGTGGTTTGGTCAGGTGAAATAACTTTACTCTGCACTTCCATTCTTAATATAAATCCTGTTACAGGACAAAATGGTGATTTCTGATACACAGCCTACTGTATAAACTCCAGTTACTAACACAGATGGAAAGCCAGCGTACTTCTACTAAAGGGAAGATTTCACCTTTAATTTATGGGTTACATAAACTTTTAAAGATACACTAGTTACAAAGTAAAAGCCATTTTCCCACATCCTGACAGCGTTTTTGCGCTGTGGATTCAAATCCCTTTATTTAAATCCGTGTATATTTAATTTCAATTCCAAGACAGTTTGTCTAGCTTCAAGTTTTTTGCAATCAGTATTTTCTACTTTTATAAGGTATTTTACTTATGTGTCATTTTAGTGCTTGGGTATAACTTTTTAAAATAAAATTTGGACTATTCACTTAATAACTATTTGTTCTCATCCTAACATTTCTCTTGAACATAGTAAGCAATACACTTGGTTTTACGGTATGTTTTTGACTGTAGAAAAAGGCAATGCTGCTTGACTGCTTGCATTACAAGACTGTTGAAAACTTCCCTCTTGCTTCTTTGACCTTTTCTGTTGTCTGTGTGAAAATTAGGAACTCCCTGGCAATATCACAAGTGGAGATGAAATACTATTTTTTCCTCAACTTCAGGGAGATAATTTTTTTGTTTCCCCTCTCACCTTTGTAGGATTCTGTCTATGTATTATAAAAGCCAAATTCCTCAAAGGTTGAAAATACAGCTGCTGTAGTTAATAGGAGTGCAAGCTATGGCTTATTGCTTCTGTAGGACTGAGGTCTTCATGTACGTAAAATATCCTTGAGCTGTTTAGGTTTTTTATCTGATTCGTAGTAATTTGGGGGTTTTCTTTTCAGGTAGCTTTGTTTTGTTGGTATTTTTTTCCCTTTAATCATTCAGGGATATTACCAAGTGAGCAAAGTAGTCAGTAAATAATCCATGTGTAATATGTAAATCTGTTTAAAGATGGTTCTAGTGATCAGTTGGAGTCTGTTCTGGTTTTAAACTGCTTTGAAATTTTTGTAAAAGAGAGTCCATGTACTGTGTCTTCGTCGTGAGTTTCCTCAAGTGACCTTCCACCTTCTGCTAGGTAGAAAAATATACATAAATAGAATTTTTAAGAGGTTCTGTTTTAAAAAAGTCATTACCATAGCAGCAATGGGGGTTGTTTTACCAGTAACTATCAAAAAAGGTATACAACTTGCTTGCCAAGAGTGATGGCCTGACATCAGTCAGCAGTGACTGAACCTTTCAGGAGTTGAATCTTTCTGTAGACACAACTGAGATATAACTGCCTTACCACTTGTGAATCCCTGTAATGGAATGATAGATGCATTGAGAAAGAACTACATTTCCTCAGGTTGTTGTTACCTTGATGTTCTAGCATTCATGATTTTTTTTGTTGTTTTACACTGTACAGTATTCTCCTGCCAGTCCAGTTAACTAAATTACTTCTGTAATTTAGTAGTTAACTGCAGATGGTCAAGTCAGGATTTTGGGGGTTGGAGAAAGGGCCACATTCTCTTTGGCCTTCTGCAGTTTCCCGGTGATAGTTGTAAGGCTTCACACATGTGCCAGGAGGGAACGTACCAGATGAGGGCTGTGCCCTGGGGACCTTCAGTAACAGCAAATCATCCTCTTCATGCACTGGCTGTCATATTCATGTGTTAGCAGACTAAACTAATTTTCTGGCTTCTGCCCCTTAGAATTCAGAGGCCTGGTTGCGATGTTCTGTTTTCTACTGAGCTGGCTGATACAGTGTTTCTAGTAAATACTCTCTATTTAATGCTAGGTTTCTATGACAGAAGGTTAGTTCTGACACTCTCCACTAGATAACACTGGATAAAACCCCTGTGGACAGGCAGAAAGGTACTGAAGGTCCATCTCTTGTATTTTTGTGTGTTTAGTTGATGCACTTTGTGTTAAGTAGAACTCTAGTTCGCTGGCTTTTTTGGTTCCTGCTACTTCTAATCTTACACATCAGAAGTCCATTCTCCCTGGAAAACTGTTTACACTTTTCATTTTAAATTGGCAATTCTTTGCATTCTGAAACTGATTTTTCCAACTAGCTAATACTAAGTCATTAAGTAAACTACATTCCAATAGTAACTGAGCAGAAACTAGCAGAACACATGGCTCTCTTGAAGTGTTTTTCTCTGTTAACATAGTTTTAAAATATGTAGTTGAATGGCTGCAAAATAGCTTTTTTAGGTTTGTGGCTTTTCAACGTTGAAGGTACTACAGTAGTTTTCAATTCTTTTGGTATGGAAGCTTCTTATGTTTCCTGTTGAAATAGAAAATTCATAGCTTAAAGCAGTATTTTAAGTGTACAAAGTATAATGCAGTGTGTGCAGTCCTGTACACAAATCCATATATAGCTGTTATACAGAAAATCTAAATCTAGACCATCGAGTTTCATTCTGGAATACATGGTTTTAGTTGATGATGAACATGTGGCTGTGTTGTTTGATACTGTATTGCAGGTACAGAGGGTATACTTATTGAAACCTTGATAAGTGAATCTGTGGATGCACATAAATAAAAGCCTGGTAAACTTGCAGATCTCATTTTAGAGAACTGTTAGCAATTTTAGAAATTAAAAGCTCTTTCTATTGCAACTGCTTGTAGTACAGCAATAAGTTTCTACAGTTTTGAATTTCTAGTAAAGTTCTGAGTTGGTAGCTAAAAGTTTAGTTCCAACTGGTCTGTATGTACTGTTTGGATTGTAACTTCTGTTTGTCACATTGGCGAGTAGTTAAATATGGATTTAGAAAAATAAGAAAAATGGAATTGAACTTTGATCATTAAACTATATTTTAATGACTGCAAAAGCAAACTATTGTCATCTGTGTTCATTACTTTTAGAACATTAAGTTAAAGATGGTAGCATAAAAGCTGGCTTTTATGCTCAAGTTAACATGTTTATAGACCGTGTTCCTGTCATACTTAGAAAACTATTCCTTAAAAAGAAAAAAAATTGGAGTGAAGAAAAAGCAAGTTGCCAAACCCAAGAGCCTTCAGAATGGAACTCGGGTACTTTCTTGGTATCTTAAAATCAACTCGTTCTATGAGGAAAAAAGTAAATGTCAGTTCTTTACTGAAATTAATTGTTCTTGGGGATGGGGCTGTGAAAAATACTGGACAACTGAGCTGCAGAATTCTTCTCATGGGATTTTGGCTTTTTCTGTCGTTATCCTCTCCCAGGCAAAAACTTTACATTTACTTTCAGTCATAAAACAAAGGAAGTAAACCTGAAAACAAGTTCAGAGAGGAACTGAAGTTCAGAAATGTTGCAGTTTGAGATAATTGATATTTAGGGGGTTTTAAATGGCTTTTGAGTCCTGTAGCTGTTCAGATACCCTCAGGTTCTGGGGAGATCTGACTAATTTAGCTTGTGTTTGCAGTTTGCCCCTTTGTGTCTTACTGATGTGTCTGTCCTCTATTAAAAAAAAAAATCAGCATTATTATTGCCTGTAGATCAGCCACTGACACAGAATGTTTTTAAACAATGTTCTTATGTGCATTTGGAGGATCAAAATATTCTACCCCAAGTAGGAAACACGTTTGGTCCAAATACTTTGCTTTGACTTTGTCAGAGGAACTTAAGAGTTATCCTTTCTGTTTCTTGTTAGTTGAGTCAGTTTTGGTCCTAGCAATCTTTATAAATAACAATGATTTATTCTTTAGGTAATTGGAGTTTTAAGGTATTTACATTTCTGATGCTCACTGCACAAACCTTGAGACTGGGAATGGATCTTTAAAGTCTGTGCAGCTTGTATTAGTGAATTTATTCCAGGTAAGCTCAACAGTTGAAATGTTTTGAGTGAACAACCTTCCTGCAAATATACTGCCCATGGTGGCCTGACAGGCTGGGAGGTGGGTGATGTTTATTTGGAATCTTCAGCTAGTTCTAAATCATGTAACAAAGCAGGAGTTTTGTCATGGTTGTGATACCCCTTAAATTCTATAACCCTTTTACTGAGTCATTGATTCGTCTTTTGAAATTTAAAATTATAATATTGCCTCTTTTCATTATTTTTGAAGTTAATGCAGCATTTAAACAGTATGATCCATATTGCTTTGAACTTACTAGCCAGTATCCTAACAGAAAGAGACAGGTAACATTTATTATGGATACTGGTGTAGCAGACTGAACTGCAGATTCAGTTACTTACGATCTTGAGTTTTAGTATCCATTAAAAACTAAATGCTTATTATAGGTTCATCTCCCTGAATTTTGATTTATTATTTTTAGCCTTTATTTAGACAGTGTGCATGCAGACAAGGAAAATCTTCTATGTACCTGCATGGGTTTTGTGATTTTCCTTATGTCTCATGATTTTAATCAACAGGAAACTGAGATGACTTGAGGAAAAACGATGCTACTGTCAGGTACTATTTCCTGTTCTTGGTCTTTGAAGGTACTGGGGGAGGCAAAGTTTAAACTGGATTACTTTATTAAATGGTCTCTGCAGGTGATACTGGGTTTTGGAGAAGGCATTCTTGTGAATAGGCTCTGTATTCAGGTTGGTTTATCACAGATGTTCGAAACCCCAAGAAGTGTTACCTTTACAATTCTAGCAAGAGAGATTTCCTCAGAAAGGGGTGCCAGTACCTCTTGTATTTGACACCAATGCCACAGACAGAGAGCCTGCCTTGGATGTCAGTAATGTTGGTAACAGCTCAGCATAGAGTCAGGAACAGGGGCATGTGTAGTTCCAAATCCGTTTCATGCATGGGATTGTGTCCTTCTGCTCAGTAAGCTTAGTAATGTAACAAAAAAGACAAAAATGGCTCCTTGCAAATGTTTTCAAACCTCCCACAGACAACAGGGAACAAAGCACATCATGACCAAGGGGCAGGAACAACCCTGAGCTGGGGGTAGGCAGCAAGAGTGTTTGTCTCACAGTCTGGTCAGAACTGCTGTGCAGAAGTGCTGCTGCTTCTCATCCTGCACTGCCAGCAGAAGTCAGTAATCCATTGCTAGGGACACACTGCTGTGGGTGTGCTACTCTTCTGCAGGCTTCGTATCACTCTTCCAGTTCATCAGAATAAAAGCTCTTGGGGGATCCTGGAAGCCTTCCACGGAAGCATAGTTCCTTTGGATTCACTGGCCCTTTGTTTAGCTAACTTTGCCTTTTTAAAAGTCTAAAAATTACATCAAGCTTCAATGAAGGAGTCACATGCTCTTTCAGTGGGGGATACTGTGACTGCAGCACATCAGTGAATCGGTGTTTTAGGGATTTGCTCCTCTCTGATACCAGTTCCCAGTGTGTTTGCAGCTTGCATCACTGTAAGTGGGTTGTTTTGTAGTTTGTATCCACTTTGCAACAGGAAACTACAGCTATTCAGGCAGCTCTTCAAGCAGCTCTTGAATCCAAGAATCTTGTGATTCTGCTTCTCTCCTGAGTCATTTGGCTGCCTTGATGCAGTTTTGAACTCCTGTGAGGGATGCTGCTGGTTCTTGCTGATTTTGTTTTGTCTTCATTTTGACATGTGAAGTCCACAGTTTCATTGGTTCAATCTAGTGACTGAGTCAAGTCTGCAGTGACAACTGTTGACTGACTTCCAACTTGGAAGTTTAAAGCTCCTTATACTAATCTAGGGCTGCACAAAATAAGGACCACTGCTTTTATCTGTAACAGTGTTTCTTTGTGGTGTCATGAGAGTTTGTTTATACTATGGAAAATCCTGCCTTGGTGAGAAGGTTGAAATATTGTGTAAGCCTTGTCATGAAGAACTCAAAATACAATATTCTGGCCTCATGAAAAATGTAGCTATGTTAAGTAAAATAAATAAGTGAAAAGGCAGCCTGCTGGCAACTGGACTAGTGCTGCAAAAAGTTGTTTTACTTGCAGCTCTCTTAGTCATGCCATGGCTTTATACAAGCAGTTACAGTGGATCTTAAAGTTTGTGTGGAATGAAGCAGTGGGGTTCTCAGGGTTGAGTGGACAGTTCACATGTATGGCTGGTGATAAGTATGACATGTTCACATGTATGACAGTTCAGGGATAACCTTTACTGAAAACTGGGAGCAATTTATGTGTAAGACCAGGTGCAGGAAGATGATGAATTTTGCTTATTTGGCATATTTTCCCAGGTTTTAACCAAGATGACAATACTCAAGGATTTCCTCTTGGTTTCAGCACCCGGGAGCTTGTTTTAAAGACTGTTTGTGATAATTACAACTTCAGTCCCAGGTTCTGTGCTCAGTGACTTATAAACTTTTCCAGAGTTAAGTAAATTTAAGCTATAACGTGTATTTCAAAGGGGTTTGGTCTTTAGATTTATCATTCCTGGTAAGTTACTTAAATAAAAAGTTAGATCACTTTTCTTCCAATAGAACAGAATCCCACAAATAGTTAATGCCTAACTTAGAGTGATTCGTTATACAAAATGTTGGCATTTTTAATAAGATTAATGTATTTCAATGAAAAAAAGCAGAAAATCTTTTTGAATTCAAATGTGCAGTTCCTTTAATCTAAAATGGTATTATGAATCTTTGGCTTTCTCTAGATGCAATCTAAAAATAAAAAGGTGAATTTCCTAACAAAGCCTTAGAAAATAAAGTACTGTTCTTTTTTCCTCTATGCATTATCATGGTTTGCATCAGCTGTAATACAGTTACAAGTGACTTGCAATAGTTAATATATTGAGAGCCCTTAAAATTATACTAAATTTTCAGGACCTAAAGAAAAGTTCAGTATAGAAAACAGTGTTGAAAGCCTGTGGCTGTACCAACTGAGGTCATCCTAACAGAGGAGGAAAGGATTTTATTTGTTCACTACCCATGAAAAAATGGGAAACAAAGTTTTGTAACTTTTTTCATATATAATCTTGAAAAAGTCTTTCTTCCCATTTGAAGTGAGGAATATTTCAGTGTCATTTTTTGGTGGTTTTCAAAACCAGTTACATAAGTTAATTTTAGCAATGTAGATTCTTACCGATTTTTCTGGACAAGAAATTACTACATAACTTTATTATTACAGTGTATTACACTATGTTGATGTGTTTTGGTTTTGTTTGTTTTTTTTTCCTCTGGAAGAACATTCCTGTAGAAAGGAAATAGGAGCCACAGTCTGAAATCTAAAATAAGGACTAAACAGCTTTTCATTTGCTTTTCTACCCTTTGAGATGCCAGAAGCAATTTCCTCTTGAAGCTGACTTCCTCTCTGGAAGTGATTTTCGTCTCCAACCATGTTGAGGCTCTCTTCTCATTCTTTCATTCTGACTAACTTGCTTTTTTCCCCTCTGACTTTCTACTGCAGTTGGGAACTTCTGGAGGTAAGTAATGACAGACAAGTTTCTCTCTAACTTTCTTTTTCAGTTCTTCTTCCCCCCTCCCGCCCCCCCTCAGCCAGTCAGTCTAGAAGGACAAACAAAGCACTATTGGTGTCCTCTGCAAGAGAGCACTGATAGGGGCTGGCTGTAAATTGACGTGGCATGGAAAATCTCTGCTAGTTTGGAGCAGCTCTAATGTTGCTGCGAAATCAAGCCTACTCTTAACCAAGTTTGTAGCTTGAAATCATCACGGGCTTACGGGTTCTATGTTAAAAATGAATGGAAAGTACCTTCACTTTTCGGTTTGGGAACTGGATTTTCTCTCTGTTTGGATTTACAGCTAATAGAAAACAAAATCAAAGGGAATTATTTGGTTACTTTTTTTTTTCCTGTAGTAAGAGCGACAGATCTTGCTGCTCCCCCCACCTTTTCCTGCAACTTAATCATTTGCAGATCTTGCCATGGGGTGCGGACTGAGAAAGCTGGAAGACCCAGATGATAGCAGCCCTGGAAAAATCTTTTCTACACTGAAGAGACCACAAGTTGAAACAAAGACGGATTCTGCTTATGAATATGTATTGCTGGATTTTACTTTAGAAGGTATTTTTTTTATGCTGTATGTTTACTATTGTGAGATAAGAAATGGCATTTAACTTAGCTCTGTCTTGTTTGACTTACAGTAAATCTTAGATACTTTTAGCAAAGCCAGCCAGAGTGTAAGACTCTTATTTTGAAACACAAATCATGACGGAGGTCCTCACTTATATAAAATTACAGTGGAAACTACCGAAGTATTTTTAACAACCAAACCCTCCAAATTACACAACTGTCCTTGTTAAGGAAGCTGGCTAAAACTGTTAGAGATTTTCCTGGTTTCCTGTGAGTCAGATACTGCCATCCGTGCTCGCTTTGAATAATGGTTGTCTGAGTTCAGTGTGACGGTTCAGAAAATACACTGTGCCTGAACCTTAATTGAATAACAATTTTTTTTAAATGCACTCCACTTCTGAAAACAGGCTGTCATTGTCCTTGTTACTTTATGCAGAAGTAAGTCTGTTCCTTAGCTGTATACTAGGAGTAACTTCCCCTCTTACGCCCACTCCAGACTCTTGGTAGATATTTCTGTAAGGCTCTTAGAGTTTCATCTTACTATTTTTTTTCCAAGTGCTTTACTTGTAGCTGTTGAATAGTCTTTTGAAATCGTGACTGAAATGAAACAAAATCTGTATGCATAGCTAGAGGCAGACAGTGCTCTGTGGGATACTTCCTTCCCGAGGGTGTCCCATCTCTAACAGAGCAACTCCCTGTTCCACTAAGTTGAAAACATAAACAAGCCCAGATGGCTGCCCTCGGAGAACAGACAGCTCAGTTTTGCAGTCACTTTATAGTAACTTGCATTTTAGAACAGCTCAGTCTACTGGAACATCTTAATAACAAGGATTTGAAGTAAATGCAGTTGCTAGAAGGGTTTGATAAAGGGAGGAAGTGTAAGTACAGGTCTTACTGCAATTTCAGGAACTGTTTCATAAACAAAACTTGGCTTCTGCTTAGTTTTACCTCTAAATTAAAGGACTGTTGTAATATTCTATTTAAAATATAAGTATTTTCATTGAAAATCTGCAAGGTACAGATGAGAATACACATTCTACTAGGTTATAGTACGTGAAATCCAACTGTTTTTGTTGTTCTGTTTATTTACACAAAGTTTCTTTCTGGCTTGTTCCTTTTGAAGTAACAAAACTTGTAGTAGTGGTAACATGCTGGAAATAAAGCTAGGCTGCCTAATGCCTACATGGATTACCTCCTAATCTACTGGTAATAGAAAGGATAACTTTGAGGCTGAAGAGCATTTAGAGTTCTTAAATAGCCTGTGTTCTGGACAGCTTTCTTGTGTTTTCAAGTCACAGTTTCAGAAAGTGTTGTGTAAAGGATCTGTTATAAAGGTGGTTGTGACTTTTTTTTTTTAAGTAAAAGCACATCAAACAACTGGAAATAAAGGTGCATCTCTGATCTCTGTGTTTCAATAACTTAGCAGTGAAGATTAATTTTCTCCTATTTAGTCTGATATTCAGAAATGCTTGGCTTCAGTGGCCTGCTGTGGTATTATGAATGTTAAATAAGCAAAATCAGTTTCTGATAGTTGCCTAAATCTTTTCAGGTTTCTGACTGTAAGCAAGTGGATTTGTGGACACATTCTGTTGAATGGTTCTAGCTTTGTGTGTATATGACCTTAAAATATTTTTTGCTTGGAATTTCTTTCCTTTATAGAGGGACGATAATGAATAAAAAAACCAGTGTGTATACTGTCTGAGAGGTATTTGTGAACTCTGATTGCTTCTGAAATGGGGGGATTAGCTAAAATATTGTGGAGAATATGTTGGGCTTTTTTTTTTTCCTACCTCAGTCAACTCATACTTGCTGCTACTTGAATGTCCTTTGGCTAAGTGAAACATTAGTGAGATCCCTTTATCACTTCAGACCAAAGTTTTCACTCTGCTGTCAGGTTGTGTTATATCTTCATGACACTCCTTCTGTCTTGCCAATTTTCCAAGCAAGGTCTTCCCCTACAAAGATTTCTGTTTGCCTGAGTGATTCATTGCCACTGGTTCTTGCACTGTGTAAAACAGAAAATCAGCACTTAATCATCTTTAAGATCCTACAGAAAGCTATGTCCTGCATCAAGATAAAAATATAGCAACTCTGAGTGTGTTACTTCATTTCACTCTGCCTTATTCTGTGCTTTATCAGGTATGTGCTGTGTGAAGTGGAAATGAGCCTGCTGGAGAGACTGTCAGCAGTCCCTGATCTTCTCCCAAGCTGTGATGCAGATTAGGTCAACCATGCTGCAGCCTAAATTTGCTGGCCGGAGTCCTTGTGCATCTTAACTAGTTATTAGCAGTGCACTGAACCTTGGCTTCTCCCCTCCTGGTCCCCAGAAACTTCCATCTGTACTGTAAAAAATCAGCTTTCAGCTTCATGGAGGGTGATCTGCACCAGGAGAATCCCAAACAAGAAAATTAAAGCCCATCTTTTATTTTGGTGGAATTGAATAGTACAAAGAAAAGGGAGCAGTGGACTCTGAAGTATAATTTTAAATGCCTGTCAGTGACTGTAAATTCCAAGGTCTCAATCGTGAGGCGTATCTCAGTTACAAAAACAACTACTGTTTTTTCAAGTCATTTCAACTAAAAAGTAGGGGTAGTTTAAATATTCCTGCTGAAGCAGAATGTTTTATGCTTTGTCCAGAACCCTCCTGGTTAGGGAAAAGGAGGAACATTGATGCACCCTGCTAAGATGACAAGCTGTGAAGTTCTTGTCACTCTGAGTAACAGTACGAATGTGTATGAAGTAGCTGTTCTGTTGTCATCTTCAGTGTCCTGCATTGGAAGCTTACTGTGGAGCTGGCAAGTTAGCTGCAGTTCTGGTACTGGTAAAAGTGTTTTGGCTACCTGTTGATAGCACATCAGGAGGGAAACTTTGTTAATGAAAAGGGGTTAAGACATTTGCAAAATAAGCGATGATCATGTTGCATCATTGCTGCTTTCTTGGGTTATGGGTTGTGGAGCAGTTATTTCTCAGCATGTATGTCTCTAGATTTACTATGAGTGTAATCATGAGGATGGAGGTATTGCTGAGGGCAAAATATTGTCCCTTTATGGAAGGGGATGAAAACTTCGGCAAATCTGTGCTGTCATAATTACTCTTCTGTTACTGTCTGTATATGGTATTGATTTCCTGCTCTCTGAGAGCATCTGCAATTCCAGTTGTACTTGAGAGGAACAGGAATTACTGCCCCATTAGACTGACTGCAGCAGAATATACTGTTACCAGCATGGAATGTCCTCTGTGCAAGTGCTGTGGATCAGACAAGTCAAAAAAGATTCTCCAAGAAGTTTTCCCTTTATCTGTGCAGTTTTCCCCAAGAGCTGTGTATTACTGAGATGTTGCCTATTGATGCAAAATACCTGCATGCAGTCAGGGATCCTCCATGGAAATTAAACACTACAAACTTACTTAGGTGATGTGTACTTAGGTTTACTGGAAAAAGGAATTGGGACTATGTAAAAATACCAACCTGTGCTCCACAGATGACTTCTGAAGGGGAAAAACCAGAGAAACAAATTAGTTGTTGCAGGCTTAAATCTGTTATGCAGGAACTTAGCTCAAAACTAAGGTTGAAGGGTACTGCATCAGTATGTTTAAGGCTTTGGATGGACAAAATAGTTGCTTTGTTAAATTCAGCCCTATTGTGTGTTTAGATGTTAACTCAACTCTTAAATCAGCTTGGCAAACCTAGATCAAACAGAAAACATTGCCAAGTACGTTAAAAATAGATCATATGAAGTTGTAAAAATAGTTACATTCAAGTGGTTGAATACTATTGAATCATCTTTGAATCTGCTTTTTCTTGTATAAATAGAACTGTAGCTTTTTAGCAAACGCCTTGGGATGGGTTTTGTGTGGTTTACATAAAAGAAACTCTCCTAAAACGTATGTGGATGTACACAGGATCACGTGCTTCTCTTCTGCTTTCAATGCTTTTAGCTTCGTCAAATCCAGAAGTTATCAAGATCAGTTCTGTGTTGGATATAGCCTCCCAGGTGGAAGAATATTACAGCAAAGGATATGTTGTAGGAGCTGTTCATCCTATTATGCTGCCCATTGGACATAGAAGGAGTTTCCCTGCAAGTCACATGTATCGAGTGGTACTTTCACGATTAAAATTAAGGTAACAGTGACATCATTTGAATACACTGATCCATTACTGAAGCCATTTGTAAATGGGTTGCTCAACTTGCATAACTTATTATCAGTTTGAAGTGCCTCAGAGAATCAAATTAACTGTTCCCAGTCTAGAAAGGTGAGCAAGTTAATAATGTTTCTTAAGCAATGCTAAGCACACAGCAGGCTAATGTTTACTTTGCCATAGTAAATGTCCAAACAAAAATCCAAAGTGTAATATCATCTGTCTTAGAAACTGCAGCAAATAGAAGATTAACCAAAACAGTAGGAGAGGAATAAGCTGCTTTAAATTACTTTATGTCTCCTTTATCTTCTTCGTTTTCAAAACTTTTGTTTTCACTTTTCCCAGGGAAAATGACATATAATTTGTGAAACAGCTTGTCAGGGAGAGTTTGGGTTTTTTCTTATTAAGAAGGAGATAATCATTCTGTGATCAGAGGTCTTACAGAAGCTCGGTTTTGACACTAAGGGAGATGCAAGAGTTGTTCCAGATCCATGGTCTTGTTTATTACTCATGTTTTCACTGCCTTATAATCACCATGTGATCATAAAGAACACAAAGAAATGTTACCATTAGTTTATTTGAATGTACAGAATATAACCTTTTGTTCTTATTTTGAAAAACTAGAAAAGTGAGGTTCTTACTGCATTAAAAGTTGCTATGCTTCCCCTTCACTCCTGAGTCCTTATGTGAAGGGTTCTTTGATTTATTTGGAGGACTGGAAGGGTGTAAATTGGAAGCTGCCCCCTGCCACTCCAGTAAGGCTTCTGTAGAACATGTTCATTTGAGGTAACTTCTCAAACCCCTTGCTTAAACAAGCATTGTCCAGGGTATTTGCTGCTCGTACAACTTAACCTTGGTAAGTTCATCTGCAAACAAGGTGAATGGTTTTTCTTGTGGGCAAAATCTTGGGTAAGAAAGCAGAATGCTTGCTCTCTGGAGCTGAGGCTTCTAGGAGCTGACACTGCCAGCAGCAACTCCCACAACTTGCCTTATCCCTCTAGGTGTGGCATCCTTATAAAGTTGTTGTTTGAACCTTTAGGCCTTTGAATAGATGAGTGGTGAGACCCTGTAGCCTACCTGTGAAACTCTTGGTGTAGCTTCAGAGTTTGCTACACAGGTGCTTTATGTACTTCTGTTGGTTTTGCTGTAGGCAAATACACCTTCTCTGACTACTGTCTGGAAAGTAACCTTTTATATTTCAGTGGGTCTCCATTGATGTTTCTTTTGAATTCAAATGGTTATGTGAAGGAAGCATCAAATAAAATCCCATTATATTATTGATGTACACTAAATTGTCTGAGTAATAATCCAACTGGTTTTATCTAAAACATGATGAGTATTATTCTGTAACTTGAAATAGAAGTTAGTGCTTGTCAGCTTCTTAAATCTGAGAGATTTAAACACTATCTAGCTCTCAGTAATTGTTTGTGCATTGTGTTTCTAGTATTTGTCTGTACTGTTTCATACAACAGCTGCAACTCTGCTTTAGTTACAAAAACTGAGCAGCAGCATGTTGAGTGTGAAAGGACCACTTCTATTCATAGTGTTTTCTACAAAACCAAACCTGTTTTGTGCTTACTAAATTTATAGTTTAAATTTGTGGGGTTTGCATTATCAGAGATTTTTGCATTTATTACAATAGCAGGGGTGTTTATCAGTAAAGCTCAATTTCCAAAAGATGCCTATGAGTGGCCTTCAGATGAAATTCCTGTTAAATATTAATATTCTTACCATGGCATTGTAACACAATACCTGTCACTTTGCATACGAAACAGAACAAGACACTAAAACCCACTGAGTTCTAAAAAGTATGAAGAAGCATTGTCAGGATTTCATAACTGTTTCAAAAGAGAAGAATTCTATATGCAAGCATGTGCCCAAGTTAGCAGCAAACTCCTGACAAAGACTGCTTTCTTTCTGTGTTCTAGCCAGAAGCATGCAGCACCCAGAGGACAAAGGCACCCCAGGCTGCTGATTGAGGAATGTCCTTTAATGTATGAAACACTGACAAATGAGGTAGTGAAAGAACTGTTAGAAAAGGTAATGGAGGCTTTTTCCAACTTTTCTTCAGACTTTTGTTGCTATCACACATGTAAATTATATTAAGTGGTTGATGTGTTTTTAGTTTTGCATTTACTTCATAGAAGCTGCAAAGCTTTTCTGAAAATGAAGAGTTCTTTTTCTTCACTAGTTAATGTTTCTAATGTAGGACTGAGTGTTGATTGCTGCAAAGCTTTGGGAGAGACTGGCTGGTTACACCACTTAAAGCAGAATCAAACCCAACTCGATCACTTTTTATAAAATGCTTGTGTGATGTCTGAAGTTTCATGTTATTCCGAGTAAAGTACCTAAGAAAGTTTTTTTCATTCTTTAACAGAACTACAACATGTGCAGTAAGTGTATTAAGTATTTACTTGGCACAGCTTTTGAAAACATTGCATAGTTCAAGTAAACTAAAGTTCCACTGGAATGCAAGTTCTAGTTCTGGTTCTTTTTGTGTTTAACTTCCTCTGCAAAACTGAAGACTTGCTGAAACAGGAAACTATTGTTATTACAAGAGTTAATGATATCTCTTACATTAGTTGCCAAGGAAAGTAGTAGAGGAAAAAGCATATTGAAGATCTTTAATCATCTTTGAAGTTATCAGAGTTGCTTAAATTTTCTAAATGGCTTGTTTTGACTTTGGCAGGCATTTCAGTTTTAGTGTGATTCTGTTACATGCTTACACTATGGGGCTGTTGCCAGGCTGGTGATGTAGTGTACCAGCCAAAGATTAAAAGGAAAAACACACTTGAAATGAGCAGTGATGCAATCGTGGAAGCATATTTGGTACAGAAGTAGTATGGGAGAATAATTTGATTTTAAACTGTTCTCGGTGTTTGGATTTACCAGAGAAAACTTTCCATCACAGGGAGCTTGTAGCACAAGATGGCAGTGGGATCACCTTCCTAAATGGCTGCACTCCTTATCCCAGAACAAAAACCAACACCTCCAAGAACAGACACATCTCACAGGTGGCACAGATGTTGGTTGTAGATTGAGACTTCAGTGCAGAGAAAAAGACACACCACTGGCTGAAGGAGTTGAAGAGGATTATTTGCTTCTAGCTCCCTCCTTTCTCTGCTCCTTCAGTATTCTCAGTAATAATGAAGTTGAGTAGCCTCCGAGGGAACTAGGGGGTAATGAATCATGGCACATGACAAAGAGATATTTCTGTAGTATTGGAGGGCAGTATTTTTAGTATCAGTGGTATCACATGTTTAAAGAAACAATACTATTTATCGCTCCACTATGCTGCTTATCTCTGTGACACAGTAAATAAAGTACTTTGAGTTTGTTCTAAATGAAGGACTTTGTATGCCCTCAAGCCAGTACTAGTGTTGGCCACCTTTCTTGGCCTGATTCCAGATACATGCTGGAAAACTTCCATTTACTTTGAAGCATGAGGAGTGTCAAAGACAAGCCACCCTTCTGTAAGTACCCTTCTGTGTCTTCATGTCCTCAGCAGTTCAGTTACACAGAACATGCATACAGAAGTTTTAAAGAAGTTCCATGCAATTCTAAAATGACTCTGCAGCTAAATTTCTGTTGTATTACAGGTTAACGAAGCTGCTAAAAGAGGCAAGAAGTTTGTGGGATTTGTAACGCAACACTTCCCTCAGCCTAAAGCCTGTAATGGAACAAGCCCAGATGGAAGTGCAGAGCTGGAAGCAACACTGGGCAGAAGAAACAGGGAACACAGGAGAGAAAACTTTGATGAAAACTATAAAAACTGGAATGAGGGGACATTGAGTGGTCATTCATCTGAGAGTGGGATAGAGGAGGAAATGCAAGGAGAAAGCAGACTATTAGAGGATTCAGACTTCCAGTTTGGAAAAGAAGTCAACCCTTCTAAACCACGGAAAGGAGATGGTAATAAATGTTGCTTGTTTATTGTAGAAATAAGGTATTCTATTGAGCTGTTAAGGTGTTGGAAAAAATAGAACATGCTGTTCTGTCAAATACTGGCTTTGGATGGTGCCTCTATATATGCATATGTAAATGCATATGCATTTCTAAAGAAGTTGCCAGTTAAAAAAGCAAAAGAAATATTTACCTTCTACTTTCTGTATATGAGCTGTGGTAATAGATTAAAATGATACTTCAGTTTTCATATAGAATATTATAAAAGTACAGTCCAAATTCTAATTTGTAACTGGAATAAAGGGAAACCCACAAACCACCCCCCCCAGAATTGCCCACAGTGTAATTCTGACTTGAAATGTGGTGCGAGCAGGTAGCTTGTTTGCTTGACATGTGTGTAACAAACATGTGGCAGTAAAAATCTTTTCTCTTAGAAGGATGCAATTGCTATAAAACCTTTTTCCTAAATGCATATTGTTTTCACTTAATATTAAATCCTAAACATTTCCAAGAATATGTTGTGATTGCAGTTGTACCTGTTTCAAAGCTGACAACAGAGAGAGAGCCCCTTCCAGCCAGAGCTGTAATTTTACATGCTTCTAGCCAGCTCCCATAATGTACAGCAAACAAATCCGTTCCTAATGGATTCTTTCTGGTTAACATGCCTTCAGGAAGCACCCTGAAAGAGATCACTTAAAATAATGCACTGACCATGAAATCAAAGATGATAATTGCTACAAAATGAATTTACTAGAGAAAAGTAAGCATTAGAAGTATAGGAAGGGAAAGTATAATTGAAAAATGTTGGTGCAGAGGTAGACAACTTAGTTGTAGAAGAGTCTGAGGTGCTTAATGTAGTCTGTGTGAAAGATTGCCTCAGAGTCTTCCAGGCTGCTAAGAGGAGAAGGTGGAAAGGAAGAAGTAATCTGAAGCATGAGAACTAACACAAGACAGTATTGTGTGGAAAGCAGGCAGCATGAAACTTCCATGTCAGGCTGCATTTTGACATAATAGGTTCTTCCCTGATGGGCCAGACGTGTTTTAATTGCTCTCAAAAGCAACCTTTTCACTTTGCTGTTAAAAGTAAAGCAGCCTCTCCAGTTTGTAGGCTGTCAGAAGAATGACTCTGTGCACTATGATCAGTGTCCTTCTTATTTTTAACACTTCAGTAAAAGCAGTTCTACAAGTGAGCCTTTATAGCATAATCTCCTAAAGCTCAACTCTTTCCTTACATCTTGAAACAGTGGGTTTGGTATATGTGGCAGAATAGAAGTCCTACAAGGAAAAAGCAGAAAACTGGTTCTGTTCAGGAGTGTTGTTTGTGCAGACTGGTGTGAGCAGGTAGATGAGCAACCAGTGCATCCCCTACGTGCAGTGCTCTCAGGAAACTTTTCAAAAAGCTTTAGAGGGGATATGCCAGGCTTCTCTATACTAGTCAAATAGTAAAGTCACTGGAACTTGTAAGGCAGAACTTTTGGAAACTTAACCTTTCTTGGAATATGTTGTATGTAACCATCACTTTAAAAAAACACTGATGTGAATTTTGAAAGGAAGTCTTATGAGTGTGTATGTATGTACTGCTGTGTCAATATGCCAGTTCCATTTAACTCTGCTCAGAAGAGGCAAATTGTCCAAGTTCTAGATTTGGGGGTCATAACATGAATTTTTACTATTACATTGCTTTTTGATTTATTCTATCAAATTTTGACTAATATATTGCTTGTGGAGGCAAACTTCTGGTAGATATGAGCAGCTGAATAGTTGTATTGGAAAACAGTTTTCTTTTCTTGGGAGCATAAGTGATCTCACTTAGCTGTATGGGAAAGGAAATTAAAGGTTATCAGGATTTATACTAATATAACCCCCTGTGGAGGGGATAAAATAAAACTGTATACTAGAATGACTAGAAAGAGTCATTCTTACTGAAAGTCCAGAATTTTGTTATTCTTTACCAAGAATAAGGTAAATTCATGTCATTTGCAGTGGGTGTGGTAACAATTCTCAGAACAGAGGGGTTCTTCCAGATGCTGATTCAGATTACTTGCACTACAAAGCCTACTTTGGAAATCTCTCTCTGTCTCTGGAGCCTAGAGAGACTAGCTTCTTATTTGGGGTCATCTAAGCCAAGTTCCTTTGTTTTGGCAGTGTGAATACTTCCATGTTTAGGGGGTGGTTTTTATTGATTTATGCTGCTCAGCAGTATTAGACCATCTGAGAACATTTTTGGGCAACCAGTTTGTGTTATTTCTCCACAGCAGTGAAACACATGAGTGTATTGTGGAACACCTCTAAATAGCTAGGACTTGGTAACTTCCAGCAGTGATTTCCTGAAATGCTGTGAATCTGTGAATCTTAATCTTTCAATATTTGTTTGAATGTTTCTGTAACAGCAGTGTATTAATACCTACATATAAAATGATTTGAGTAGATGTAGGTTTTGTATACTTAACTTGCATGCTCACCAGTAGCTACTGAGAAGCCCCAGTAGGCAACTAATACCAGACTTAAATAACCTTCAGAAAATAATGGGTAAAAATTGATACAGTACAAGACATTCCTTATGTTTACAAATGTAAAAAATTGTCATTGGTTATTAGAATTTCAAATATTTGTGACCAGAAGTTTTATAAGTGGCAGAAATGAAGTCTGTTTCCACGGGGTTCTTCTTAGCTCTTGTATATTTTCTTTATGCAAAACCCACCTACCCAGAGGGTCGGGTGGCAGCCCAAGTGTAGTAAGTTCACATTTTCCTTGTATCCCAAAGCATACTTCCCCTCACACCTTGTTCTGAGTGTGTTCAGATCTTAAACAGAGTACAGACACATCAGGAGACAATTATTAAAGCTGCTGCTTAGAATTAGAAAATTACCTTGAAATAAGAGATTAGTAATATTATTAATTTTGGAGCACTGTCTTTAAGAGGTTCACTTTTCTTCCTTTCTCTTTTGCCAGACAAGCTATATACAGTCTTCAATGTTTTTGATGATGATTCCACCTGCTGGACCTATCATGAAGGTGTTTTGTCTATGAAAGTAACAAGGAAGGGGCCAGTTGTTAGTACTCTGGAAGCAGACTGGCTAGAATTAACTACATTTTATTATAAACAAGGATTGTCCTTAGTTGATTCTTTTGTGCACTGGGAATCTTCTAAAGGTGAGTAAAGTCCCAGAATATAATAAAGCTTTTCCTTGTTTATGTACATCTACATAACTTGGAAAAAAATAAGACCACGTTTTGTTTCTTGGTGTGAAGGTCAATATGTAAACATGTTCAGATAGTATATTGTAACTTTGTAGAATCTGATACCTAAAAAGGGAATAATTTGTCTTCTGGCCAATTAGAGATTGAAGTAATTGAAATTTCTCTTTTGGTTTATCAAATTGAGAATTTCCAAAGCAGGAAACTAGCGTAGTGATAAAACAAAATAAACTTTAGTTTGGTTTTGGTTTTTTTGAAGGAAAAGGTAATGGCAGGGGGGAGATCATTAGATGAATGTTTCTGTGACGTTCCTGTTCTGCTGCTCTGTGGATACTGTGCTGCACTCCAAATATTTCTAATGAGACAAAAGAGCACCTTGAGTTCTCATTAACCTTATTGTACCATTAAATCCAAGTTAGACTTTCCATGCTTCCTACTTTCTGAAAAATTCTTTCCAAACCACCAAACTGCATTAAAATTTGCTGTTCTGGTCAGATGTGGACACATGTAGGGAGTAGAGAAACCTGTTTTTGTCCTTGCATTCAACTGTAGGCAGATCCCCCAGGACTTGTTCACACAGCTGAGAGAGAGGTCTTCCCTGATCCCTCCTGCTTCCTGTGCTGTTCTGCAGGAATCTGCCAGCTCAGTTGACAGTCATATTGATATAATAGAGCAATTAAAATGATAGACCTCTGTGCCACAGGATCTTCAAATTTACTTCATTCTGCCAGTTTTGGTGTGATACCCATTTTTTTTCTGGAGAGATCCTACCAGCTCTTTGGGAGTTCCTAGCCTTCATCCTCCTGATTAACAGGTGCAAGCCTATCAGTAGTGCCACTGCTGGCCCAGGCTCCTGCACACCATGCTGAGCCCAAAATCCTGCCTTTTGGCAGAGCTGTGGGTCAGTGCTGCACCACTGGTGACAACAGAAGCAGCTCTTTGCTGGCCAGAGTATCTAGAACTGTAAAACTGTTGCTGGTAAGATACATAATTTAGAGATTCCATTTCTATTTGAACTGAATTTGTCTGAAAGCCAGAAATGAAGTGTTGCAAAAAATATTAGGAAGCTACTGACAGTTGCACAATTGCTTGAAAAAAAAAACTGGAAGAAGATGATAGTACCCTAGTGTTAGGGGTACAGATCAAGGCAAACTGACCTGGTTAATAAATTGTGAAACTATTAACTGCTATCAAACAACATTTGTTAAAATAAACCTAGACTTTATACTTCTCCAGAGTGATACTTTGGTTGAATTTATACATGTCTTGCTTGTACTAAGTTGCAAGTTGTTGGTGTTCCTGTATAATTAATTATGGCAGTTCAGTGTAAGCAGGCAAAATAAAGAGCTGCAGTGGAGGAAAGTCTTGTAAAACGTTGGTTATAAAGGTTTCAGGGCCCTTAAACAGTTTTTGCAATGCTCAGGCTGATTATCAAGAGCTTTAGATAATTAATTGCCAAAGTTGCTTTCATAAGTCACTTTGTCTGCCTCTTATTTGGGTTATACAAGGAGGGCAAAATTACTAGGACTTTGAGTAGTTGTTATATTTACTGTGTCTTATGCTTTTTTCTGTTAATCCTGACTTAAAATAATATGCACTCACCATCTCCTTTGCAAGGCAGAGCTTAAATAAAAAAAGTAAAACATAATCTTTAAAAGCTAAATTATGTGGGTTCTTCAAAAGCAAAACCCTGACAACAATGACAACTCCTCAGTTTTCAGTGTTCTCTGTGGTTTTGAGTGTGAATCACTGCATTTCTGTAGCTCTGTGGTAAAGTACATTTAGTGACTGTCAGAGGCACATAAGCTCATCAACAGGTTTACCTCAGATGGAATTTGGCAGCTAGTCCCTCTCAAACTGCAGATTTTATGCACATAAACAGTCTAATGGTGCAGTTTGTAGTAGTTACCTTTTTTGCTCTGAAATTATTACTCCTGTTTATTCAAGTCAGTGGAAGAAGAAAATTTCCTTGGGGGGAAGAGAGGTGAGAATTCAGACTCCTAGTTTTCAATACAGAGATTTTTTTAGTGCTGGAAAAGAACCCTCTGGAGATCTGTTACAGTTCACTGAGGGCTGGTTTTGGCAGCTGTTGAAATTAATCTTTGCAGCTGCTGTCCAACAAGTTTTACAGTCTTCCCATTCCTCACATAGAGAAGATCTGTCTGCTCCTCTCTGTATGAACAACTACCCCATCTTTAATGCCCAGGCAATAACATACCTCATCCAGTATTGGAGAGGATTTAAGTCTGGTATTCTGAGGATTGCATAATTTTAATGTCTAAGTTTAGTTTAAATTCAAGTTAGTCAGCTGTCAGGGTACATCTCCACAAAAGGCTTCCTGAAGGCTCTTGGGAGAAGCAAAAGCAGCAAATGACCCAATATTTGATGCACAGCTTTAGCTTGGGCCAGCCGGATGCTGTCGAGCTTGGATGTGTGAGTCAGGGAGTTGGGCTCTGAAACTTCCTTCCCATCAGGAATCTTCTTACAATTACTTGTGTTTCAGGCTCTTCCTGTGGCCACTTATGTTTTTAAGTAGCAATAGTTTGGCTTTGCACTTCATGGTTCACTTCTCTCTGTTCCCTGCCACCACACCAGAAGCTGCAGGCAGATGATATTGAGGTCGAGTAAAGAGGGTTTGTGCCCATCCTCTGCAGGAGATGTGTTGGATACAGGAAACTGGAATTCAGATTAGAGCAGGGAAGGGGTTAATGCTTTTGAGAAAATTAAATCATTCAGAGTTCAATTTGTGTAGAAAAAAAGGGATTTGAGTATTAAGTTGACTTGCATGCTCCAAGTTGTAATTAGATGCAGAAATAACCACAAATTTGAGTTTGCTAACTCATTTATTTTAGAGGACTGTTCAGTGAGGAGGGTGGGAAAACATCCCATATGTACCTCTTGGTAGTGTATCAACCTAAAACTTTGTTTCTGTTTATGTTCACAGGGGACTATTTGCCCAAATCTTTAGAGGGATTATTTATCTATGAAGAAGAAGGTGCTGGGGTTCCAGGTTCTAGCAGGAAAGGAAATGATGCAATAGTTGTTGAACAATGGACAGTCATTGAGGTAAATTAGTGATTATTTAGCAATGCTATTTCCTACTTTTATTTTTCTTGTTTTTTCCTTAGGGTGCTTGTACCAGTATTAGATAAATGTTCAGGATGGTTTCCTGAAGCCACTTGCATGGGCTAAACTCAAGCCTTAAATCATAAAAATAAAGTCAGGTCTGTGGCCATTGGTAAATGTACATAAAAGAAATATGCTGGAGGGATTCTGGCCTGCCACTTACAAATGACCATACCAACAAATACAACCACCAAAGAAAATGTTCTGGGATTTTTGTATGTGTTTCAGACCAATTTTGGATAGAATTCCAGCAAGTGCAGGTCACACTGACAATGTGAAGTATTTTTAAATAAAAAGGGGAAGAAGATAGCTAGAACTACAAACAGAAGGAAAATTATAATGATTTAGTTATGGCTTTCAGATGTATATTTTTATTAAAATGTTACTGCTAAATATGAAATACTTGGGTTTTCCTAATTACTGTAGTAGGCTACAGCACTAAAATTTTTTAAATATTTTAATGTTTTAGGATTATTGCATCAATGACATCTGAAATTAGTCATTGTTGGAGGATATTAAGGGCTTACTTTTGAAATATCCAATGATAAATATGTTTACCAATGTGAAAAGAATTAACATAAAGCTTGTATGTTAAGAAAACCCAAACAAAAAAGCCTCACCAAAATCTTAATTATAGTGCTAGGTGAGATGCTTATTCTTCATATCTAAAGTAAAAACAAATACATAATTGACCCCTAAGATGGTGTTTAAAGTTTTGGCACTAATTTAGCAATGTGACAGACTGGACAAATGAGATGTGCTCTGTTGCTGAATCAGGGCTCATATCTGATGTTAATAAATTGCTTTCCTTGGGTTTTGTAGTCATGACCTTTCAGATTGTTTTCAGTTTGAAGTAGTGAATCTCCACCAAACAACAGTTTGTCATCTCAAAGGATCGTCCCACTAAAAGCGAGAGAGGAATTGTAGTTGTATAGAAATGTGAATAAAATCTGTACAGAGTCTCTTTACTACTTTTTATAATTATTAATGTAGGGGTGTGAAATTAAAACAGATTATGGACCTTTATTGCACACGCTGGCTGAGTTTGGATGGCTCCTGACCTGTGTCCTGCCTACACCCATCGTACGACATGACAGGTACCCACACTAGAGATTGCAGCATTTTTGGTGTACATGTCTGAGAATTATCAAGTAATTACTTGCATCCTTAAACGTAAAAAAAAGGAAAATGCTAATGTTAAATGCATATAAAACTTGAGATGTAAGTACCATTACTGTTGAGTCTTCTACTGTGGTGTTTTAGGTCTGCTGGTTTCAGTGAGTCTAATTCTAGACTTAAAATACATTGTGTAAATCTAAACATTATTTAGAAAACTTTTAACCACATAGTCAGCCCCCAGCAGTGGGGTTACTCATGCACTTCAAGTTTAAACAAGTATTGAAATGTTTCACTAGTTTAGGACCTTGGTGAATGACTAGTTTAGGTGATGGAAGAAGTCATGTCACAAGACAGTCATGCACTGTTTATTGCACATTAGAGTGGGGTGTGCTAATTCAGCAAGTTACTGGGCTGTTTCTCTTCTTTATAAAAATATTATGGTTCACTTGAAATATTGTACCAAACTACTGGATTTCAGTTTTCTGGTTGTTATACTTATTTAGATGATTGAGGGGACTCTGCTCTTTAAGAAGAGCCAAATAGCCCACCTGAATCCTCCACAAGGTTCTAGACTTTTTTTTAACCCCCCCAAAAAGTACTGTGCTTTTCAGCACAGTATCAAGTTAAAAAAATGGCAAATGAAGCAGTGGATTAAGCACTCTTAATGCCCCTCTTCTCTCTCATCATCTTTTTTTAAGTTTTTCTTCCATTAGATTAAGATTGCCAAGCTTTGAAAACAAACAAATGTGCTGAGGCACAGCTTAGGGCTCACTACCAACTGTGGAAAGAGTGGATGACTTGAGAAATCTTTGGATCCCAGACCTCACTGTGTTAAATCAAGGCAGCATGAAAAAGATGTGAATGACAGTTTCTAAGAAAACTCCTGCAAGAAAGTGGGAGTTTTGTTCAAGTGATTTGACATAATTAAATCAACTCATGCATGTGAGAAGGAGGCTTTTCTGATCAGGAAATAGGTGTTGGGGTGTTTGGGCTGTGGATTTTTTTTTTTAATAGTTGATTTTAACCAACTGGTTAAATGCAAAGACAAGAAGTGGTAAAATAATATGGCATGTTCTGTGGAATTTTTTTTGTTTGTTTCTTTTTTTTTTAATAAGGGCCTCTGTATGTTTTGTTTTCTTCTAGAAGAAGCAGTTTCCAGAATACAAACCAAAATGGTTCTCCTTTCATTTCTTCAATAATTTTGCAGCCCAAATGTATTAGCTTTGAACATGGTGACTTGTAAGAGTATGTGAACTACTGAGCCTGGCTTTTGTAAACAGCTGAAATTTTTGGCCAAATCTTAGCTTGACAGTAAGTCTTCACAATGTGAATCTAATCTTTGAAGGATGTCAGTGGACAATGGGAGAGAGATTTTAGTAGTCATGGTGTGCTGTGAGTCATAGAATGAGGGACTTTTTAACCTACAAACTCTTGTGTCCCACAGGCAGTGTAACTGAACCCAGCCCTGCAGGGTTTGGACAAGCAGGGTCAGGAATGTCCTGAGCAGCTGCTGATCAACCACTCTGAGTGTCAGTCTGTGCCTGCAGCAGATGAATGGTGCTGCTTTGTACCTCATAGATTGCAGAGCAAAGGCAGGGCCCATAGAAAAAAATCCAAGTGCTAAAAGAAAAAAAAAATAGGAAAAAGGGCTAACAGCTTGATTAGGCTAGAGCTGTTAGTATTTGAATTAGTTAGAAAATGTACCAACCAGCAAAATATTAAAGTAGTGTTAGATTTCTCAAGTGGTGTTGCATCCCAGATGTGAAACAACCAGCCCATTAATAGCAGTGTTCATGCTAAAGGGGATTATATCCTGGCCAAATCTGAAGCTGGATTTATTTTATATCCACACTCAGATAATTCAGACTAATAAAAAGCATTTGTTTTCTGGCCTAAATGGTTGGGTAGGAGTCTGCATGAATTGTCTAATACTTGTTATCCCACTGTGGCTTGAGTTACTCTTGGAAGAAATGGGATGAATCATGTTTTGTGTGCCTGTAGTATATCTCATATACAGCTATTCAATTTTCTTTTTTAAAAAAAAACTTGAAAAAACCCATGAAGAAGAATTCCTAATTAGGAATTGAGAATTCATGAGTTGGAAAATTAACGACTTCCTGTCCTCATGAGCTAAGTAGCAATTGATAACTACTATTTTTAGGCATTGATGTTGGCATTTAAAGAGAAAAAATTCCTGGATGGTTACTGTGTGTCTGATATGAAAGATGCCATTACAGTGGTGGTGGTGATGGGTTATCCTAGGAATGCAAGTTAAATGTCTCAATAAAGAAGGATACTTTATGCTGCTCAACAGCTGGGGTTTTTTGCCAGACTTGGAACTCTGTCCTCAAAACCCAGCCTGAATATTAACAGTCTTCAGAAACACTGAAGAAATAAAATAAGCAACATTTTGAGATCATCTGACAAATTCATGTTTTCATATTTATTTTTATAAAAGAATTTGTGCACAATACTTAGATAAAATCTTCATTATCCTCATTTTTACTCACTGTAGTACTTTGGTCTATTCTGTTTTCCTCTTATTTATTGCAAAACTTTCCATCACTTCAGATCTTCTGTGATCTCTTCCTAGATGTTGTGCCCCCTGCTTGTCTGCAGACGAAGAGTGACCAGCTGGGGTGTGAGAGGGTTGCTGTGCACTGATGTGTTCTTTTTCAGGCTTTTGCAGGGTTAGGATTTGAAACAGTTCAAAAAAACACTAGGCTGTCATGTCTGTTCCTATGTGGTGCTGTTGTTGTAAAGTTTTTCATTTTTGACAGACATATGAATTAAAATAAAAAAAGAAAATAAATATATAAATAAAAATAAGTATAAAATAAAATGCCCAGAGCATTAAGCTGATGTGATAGCTGAATGTCACGCCTCACTGTCCTGTTTCAGGCAGGGGCAGCACTCTGTACAGCAGTTTAGTCTTTCAGTTCCTACCTCAATGGCTAAATCATGTTGGATGCAGGAAACACTTCCCTGAAAAGCTCTTTACTGTTACAAAGAGAGTGTACATGTCATTCTTGAAACACTCACAGTAGCCATTTTGTGCGGTGTTGTTTGAAAAATAAGCACTGTGGGGCTTGGGTTTGTTTTTTGGTCAGCACACTAGAGATTGCATAGAATTTGCCCTCTCCTGACAGTGATTCTTTTTTTTTTTACTCTGGGGATATGAGAAAGCAGAGCATGAAAAAAAAAAAGCATATGATGCAACATTTGTTGTATCCATCCATGTCTTGGGTATTTAAACTGTGCCAGCAGTCAGTAAAGAAATTTTTAGACAAAAAAGCAGACCATAAAAGAATACCTGATGGATCCACAATAATATTAGTGATCTAAAGAGCCCCCTGTATTATATGCAAGTCTTACTTAATTGGTAAATGTCTTCAAGACAAGAATTTTGATAGTAATTATGCCAAGTTCAGATAAATAGCAAGAATAAAATGAATAGTGCTTTTAGGAGTTAAATCTAGTGAGTATCTAGGAGATACTTCGCTGGTAAATTTAGTGCTCCTGCAGTTTTATGATGATATTATAGGAGTTTGTAAAATTTCATACATGTTAGGGGTTGAAAATTAGAAGTATTTCTAAGGTTTTTCAAATGTTTCATTAAATGGATCCTTTAAGCTTAGTATCTCAAGCTGGTGTCAGTCTCATGACTGAAAGTTTAGGTGCTGTGTGGCTCCAAAGGAGTGCAAAGCTTTATTTTGAGAAATGTGAAAAAACCCACAACTGAATAGATGAAAAGAATTTCTTATTCCTTTTGTTCATTTTTAGAAAACTTTGTTTAACCTCTGTTTGCAGTGCTTTGTAAATAACATGTTCATGCATAACAACAAAATGGATCTGTAAAAATCAGAGCCATTGGAGTATTATTGAGCTTCTAGTTTGATGTTTGCTTTTGGGGACAGAAATATAGACATGTAATAGGACAAATTTCTTTTCTCATCCACCATAAGCAGACAAGCAAATTGATGAAGTTTCAACAAAAGAGTCTCTGTTGCTCTTCATCACTCTTGAGAGGAAAAAGCTTCAGCAGCCTGACTCTGCAGTGACCTTTATTTCCCTCCACTGATTACTGCAGTGCCTGAAAATGGACAAGGCAGGCTCTGAGCAGTGCAGTGCAAAAAACTGACTTTGGTTATTAATTTATCATGGCTCACTACTTAATCAGTGTTTTCAAAATGCCCTGACTTAGGAGGCAAAGAGGGAATGTGGAAATGTGAGGGAAGCTACAGAGCTTCCCTTGCTGTAAGCACTTTTTCTCATTTAAATTCTGCGGAAATCCCACTGTCATTGAGTCCTTTGTGAATTAAGCTCATAGCAGCTTTGTCGTGTGTGGCATTTTAATAAGGTCAGACTTAGAAGATTGTTAATTTACTTATTGTCTACTCACCATCATGTCCTTTCTCTGTTCCAGTAGAATTTGTACAAGCTGTAGCTTAATGTTTGGGTTTTTCTCTTGTCTCTGAAGGAATGCAGACACTGTTACCAAATAAGCCGTAGGCTCTTCCCCATGCCCCGGACTGCGCTCAGCCTTCTTGCTTAGAAGAGAGATTTCCCAGTTGATGTTATCAAAACAGACATAACTGAGGCAGGGAGAATACCTAACCAAGTGGAATAAGGTTGCAGGACTGTGGACTTACTTGTAATGACATAAAATCTTAACATGTTTTCTTTTAATGATTGCAAATAGTGAGGTAGAGACTCTTAGAGCAGGAATCCTTGTTAGTTTAAGGAAATGAATGAATTTGCTCTCCTGCATTTTTGTGTTCCCCACTAGCTGGAGATTATGATAGTTCTCTGTTCTCATCCAAGGAAGACATGCAAAGATATGCCATGACCTGAGTTCAGCTGGACTGAAAGGAAAATTGGGAGGGGCCAAACACAGTCACAAACCCATCATCACCAGCTATTGATCTGAGTACACGTGTACTGAGTAGCTATTTATGCTGGGAACTCTTCCTGAGCTCATAGGGACAGTTTTAGTCCCTGATTTTTCTTGGAGCAAGTCCCTAATGTTAAATAAATTCTCAGTCCTAGCCCTGTCATGAAACATGCACCAGTTACTTGAACTTGGTATGTGATTGGTAACCTCGTGACACACTCATAGTGAAGTAAAAGCTTGTGTTGTTTTAGTAATTCTTTCTGTAATGTTATGCATAATAATACTGGCTTATGATGGATAGACTAGGTAGAATCATAAATATTTCAGATGAACTCACTGTCTCTTTGGTGTTTCCATTTTGCTACTTGTCTTTAGTGCACTCTTAAATCTGAAGTCACCCTTTTACTGAAGCATTTCAGTATTTTTCCTTTATATGCATAAAACTCTTGCTGAATACTGCCCAGAAGCAGGAGTTGGGGAGAGAAGAGCTTCTAAAAATGTAGTATCTGCTATTTAGAAGAGCATTGGAATTTTTCAAACTCTTATTCTGGAGTTCTGGTCTTGAAACTCTTGCACTTTTTCATTGACACAGAGTTGAGCTTGGTAGTACATATGCTATCAATGTGGTGACCTGTATTTCTGGTGGAAAGGTTATGAAAATACATCTTCTGCAAGTTTTAATGTATTTATCACTTCTAAGAGTGTAATACTTCTGAAACATCATATCAGTAATGTCTGATTAGGTCTTGAGGAAAAACTTCACCTCATCATGTTCATTATTCTACAAGTATTTCCTTCTGGAAAAAAAAAAGCACCTGTACTGCTTTATATGTGTACCATAACAGTATTAAAATCTGTAAAAGTTCCAGGACTGAAGTTGCTCTTTTTTTTTCCCTTTATTTATCTTAATAAAATATTCTCTAGTCCTTCCTAGGCTCCCTCATACAAACCAGCCAGTGTCATTTATCTCATTGTTGATGTAGAGCTTATTAAAACTGAGCCAAGTCCTTTTATCCATAGGTGGGGGGACAGCAAGCTTAACCCTCTGTGCCAGTTAGATATGTTACAACCAGAAAACAACTTTTATTTGGCAGTAAAGAATGGTAATTCCCAAGTTTCATGCCACAAAGTATTGAAATATTTGTTGAAGCTCTCTATTGAGATCAGGCCTGGTTGTTGTGGCATTAATAGGTAGTACATGTTAAATAACTCCAGTCATAGTAATACAAGTTACTGATCTGTCCATATTTTTATGTGTATCACCTTAACCCAGCTCTGTGCTTCTATTTCTTTTTTTTTTTTTAATATGTTTACAGAACTGTTCAGGAATTAATAAACTGATTAATGCTTTGTAGTCTGCCCTCTTCTTACTCATGGACTTAAATACACACAACTTAAAGTTGACTTTAAAAGGTATGAATGTGTTAGGGACAATTATTGCCATTAGAACACTGAAACTGTTTTCTTTAAATTTTAGTGAAGGAAATCTCGCTACAAAGCAAGTAATTTTTCTTCAGAGACCTGTTATGTGGAGTTCTGCTGTCCAGACACCAGAGGTGAGTAACTCATTTATGGTATTAATATAAAAAAATTAGTACTTCACATAACGGTAAGATATAGAAACAAACTAGACTTCTCAATTAATAGGGGAAAAAAGTGCTAGAACAGGATTTCACTTATTACCAGTTCAAGTTTGTGGAGGGCTTTTGCAGAGCTCACCTGTTATTTGTTTTCTCAGATGTTATCTCTTGAGTTAAGCCATGGAGAAAAGCATAAGCATGCTAAAAACGTGTTATTTGTTCTAAGAAATTACTGTGTCTCAGGTGGAAGAAGTTGCCTGTGTTGGAAGTATTTTCTTTGGAGTCTTTAGGAAGTCTTGAATGTTCTGATTGAAATCCTGTATCTGTTGCACATAAAAAAAGAAAAGTATTTTGACCTCCAAAATATCTACTTTCACACTTTTAAAAGAAACAAGTGTCAAGCTGTAGGAGGGATACTGCAGTCTGCAGGTTAACAGGGTGAGGGCTGTTGTTGCATGAAAATGTGTGACAGGATTTCAAACTCTGCAGCTGAACCTCCTCATCTTCTTATCTGTTTTGAGGGAAGCTCCCCTAATAGAGATGGTATCCAGTGCTTTTTGAGGGTTAAGGAACTCAGTCACCACACTCTGCTCAGTGTCACAGCAGTTACTGCTCCTGCGTGGTGCTGCAGTAAATCCTGCTGGGCCAGCGAGGGATGAACTGCTGATGGGCTTTTCTTTGCTTTTGACATCCCATGGTGGTTATTTCTGGATTTCAATAGCTGTTCCACCTTTCTCTGTTCAACATGGCTTTCCTGTGATAGTCTTAAGCTATCAATGTTTTCACTCATGTCCAGCACCAAACTTTACAAACTTTATAAACTTTATATACTGTTATAAGGCAGTGATACCTAGCTGCTTCTTTGTCCTGTACAAATAGTTCTGTGAGTCTCTAAACTTCATTCATATTTGATCTTTCTGTCTTTTACTTTCTATTCAGTCTATTACCGTCATGTGTGTTTTCCTCTGTTTAGTGTTTCTAAAATACGCTCTTCCTTTTTTTGTTCTTCTCCAAGCTTTTGCTTATCTCCAGTCTAACTTCCCTCTCACTGTGTCCCCTGATAATTAGTACTTCCATGCCTGAAAGAACTGCTTTCAACATGCACGATTCAAGTCCTGTTTATTTTTTTTGTCTTAATTCCCATCTAGTTCTTGAACACTGTAATTTATTTTCTCATTTACTTAGCTGGAGCTTTTCTTTCTTCTCTTCAATGTTCTGTGTAGTCTTCCTTGCTGGTGTCTTATCTTCTCTTCCACTCATACCCTCTTCTAAATTCTGCCAGTGGAATTTTTTGTCCTTTAACCACCTCCTATGTACAAAGCATCTTCAGCTTTTAGCTTTCAGTTCTTCTGCTCTCGTGCCTGAATTGTAGTCTTTCATTCCTAATGCGTTTCTGAGTATGTTTTGGAACACAATTTTGATACCAATATTGTAAAAATATGGAACATAATGTCAGTGCTTATAAAACAAAATAATGCTTTCCTGTGTTTTAAATACTCTATATAATAAAGGCATGAACTCCTGATATGAGAACTCTTCCCTTGGTGAGACATAATGTTATTTCTAACTACAAGTGTCTCTTAAAAGGCAGCATCATTATCTGTCACAAGTTAGAATGGTTAAGACTCGGTTCTGTCAGGAAATGTAGTACAAACCAGTTCTGTAAAAACAGTCAGTATGAGGAACTGATGAATCTTTGAGATGTGGTTTAAATTAAAAACTTAAACTGTACTCACAGTTTAAATCCTGTCACCCAGTTATGAGGTGATGAGCAGCTTTGGTTTATACAAATAAAATGGTGTGTTTTGTAGTTCTTCTTTTATTTGTTGTAATAGGAAACCTTTGACTTTGGAAGTAAACAAGAAGTAGCTGATGTGTAGCCATTTACATCAGGATTTCTGTGTTTAAAATCTGAACAAACTTAAGATCTAAATGTGCTCTTTAAGTACCCGTGAATGTTTTACTTCTCCACCAGGAAATTTCAATATGATGAGGTCATTTTAGCATGGGATAAATAGGTAACTGGGGCTGAAGCTGAAACATTTAGCAGAGTAACATTTTTCCTTCTGTTTTGCCAATTATGGTGGTTTTCCCTTAAATTTTCATCTTTTTACTTCATTGCTTTTTTACAAAAATGTTTGAATCAGCAAACAGCTTATTACTTTCATTTCCATCTAAATTCATGGATTTGTTATACCAAACTGGTACAGAATGTCATGATAGCTTTGCATTAAGTACCTGGATTTCAGGTGGAAAATAAGCTACTGAAATTTGAAAGCGTTCCCTTCTGCTCTAGAGACTTTTTGTTGTTGTTGTTGTTTAAATAACTTTTACTTAAAAATCTCCTGGACACTGACAACACAGCTGGACTATTTTATTGAACTCTTGCAAACATTTTTGTAAAAACATTTCATTCCTGTGATTGTATATTGTTTGGCATGACGCTCTCCTTTTTATTTGTTGTGCATCTTTTCCTTGATGTTCATATTACATTAAAGCTGTCACTAGGAAAACTTTGGTATCCACAACTTAGGATGTTTTTGAAACACAAAAATACTTCAGATACCTGAAATTTTTAAGTTTAAAAACATTGCGTCACAACTTCTGTTTATTTAAGCACACCTTTATCATATTTGCAGCTCAGATACCTTGAGAAGAATGCTGCTGACAAGGCTTTTTCTTTCATAACTAAAATAAGAAAGCAGCCTCATACAGACCTTTTCAAACACAACTGTCAAGCCCCAGTGCCCTGGTCACATCACATTGTGGTTCTCCATAGTGCAGGAGGGTCTGGCCATGGCTTTGCCCCATGGGCAGGTACAGCTGTTGGACTTGCATTTTGGAGAGTGGCAACAGAGCCTGGGGTGCTTTGTGTACTCAGGGTTCTATTTGTTGATTGTTGGGTTGAAATTAGCATTGCTATTTCTTAAGGAAGTTTTGCTTCAGTAAGAATTGAGGGGAACTCTGCTATTACCTCGTTTCTTAATCTCACAGGATCTCTTTACTGAGGATGGTATATTTTGTGTCCTTGCAGCTCATCTCTGCTGCCTTGTATATTCCTGGGGTAGGGTGTTATGAACTGGCTTATGATTTATGTAATGGTTCAAAAGCCTCTTGAGTTACAAGGGCTGTACTGTCTCAGTAGACTCTGTTTATCACATATCACTTGCTTTTCAAAGAAAAGAGTTCAGAAGAGGAGATGCCAGATTGAACCATGCAGTGCTTGAGGGGTTTCTGATTTTTTTTCTTTTCTCATTTCTTCGTTTATTTCCCTTAAGCAGACTTCTTCATTCTCTTGCTGTGGCATCCAGGCAAAACTTATTTCCTTTTGTTTCTCTTGAGGCAACACTGTTTCCCCTTAGCCTGATTTCCCAATGTCTCCTGTAACAGCTTCCCTACATACATTTCCTTTAGCCACATGGTCCATTGTTTTTACTGTTTCAAAAGGGTTTGAGGAAAAACTCAGAAATGTGTAGAAGAGAGGCACAAACATGGTAAAAGCAATTGTGGTGTAGTTTTGTTTTTAAAGTGCTTGCACTTGTGGAAGAGTGCTTGTGTCCTTCATGCACTGAAATGCAGCTCTGTGCTGAGGCTGGATTCCTTTGTTAGCTGGATGTGTTCCTTCTGTGGGCAGAGCTGTGTCCCTGGCAAGCATCTCCTGTGTTAGCAGTGCTTGTGCTGAGAGCAGGGCTCCAAGCAGGCAGCTTCTCTTAGCACTTCTGCCTTCCTGACCGTGTTCCTCTGTTGTAGCTCAAGGCTCTGACACTGTTTCTGGAGATGCTGCATCATCATAGATCTGATTAACTCAGGTAGCTCCTGAGGCTGAAATGAAATAAACCTTTTATTTATTTGTGATGGCTCAGAGGACCCTTGGCGTAGTCTGGTCAGTCTCTTGTTTGCAGAAATCACAATCTGCTTACTTTCTTTTTTAACATTGGCAACCATCATCATTCAACAACGTGCATCATTCAACAAGAAAGATATCAGTCAACCCAAGTACTAATGTCAGGCTGTATTTATACCAGGTTCTTCCTGTGCAAGGATTGTATAGAACTCGTTTCAAATGGCTGTACAGAAATAGCCATTGACCTCTATCTGCATAGATTCACCATGGGGATTGAATGCAATTCTCAAGGAATGTGCCATTATCTGAGGAGGCCTTTGAAGATGTTTATGGGCAGAACTGGAAAGATGGGAAAGCCTCTTGGTTGCACCATGAGATGGATCAGTGGGGAATCTTCAGTCCTATGAAGTGGTCAGGTCACACTTTTTGCAGAGTTCAGTATCAGTGGAGTTTCACTCACACCTTTGTGAAACACTGCACTGATGTTGAAGCTCCCAGAGAGAGCTGGGTTCAGGGACGTGATCAACATCCACTGACTAACCAGAATGGCTTGCAGAGGAGGGCAGTAGCCAGAGACTGTTTGTGGTGGCTTGTAGGTCTGGGAGTAGGGAAGAGTGAATGTGTGCCTGCAGTGGGAGCTGGAGGCGGTGGAGCTGTCAGCTGTACCTGACACTGCCAGGCCTTCCGACCCCGCCGGGCATGGGGATGCTGCAGGTGAGAGGCAGCTGACAGCAGGGGCTGGGCCAGCACTCTTCCCTGTGGAGCACAAGGAAGGGCAGCACATGCATATCTGTGGCAGAAAGTGTCAGTCAGGTTATTTTAGTCATGTATGTTAGGCAGAGAAACGATGCTTTCTTCAAAGAGCTGATTTTAGAGTGGGCTAAGATCTGTAAATTGGTCTGGTTCTGCCAAGTACTGCGTAAGAATTGAGCATTGTTGAGGTATTTTTTTCGTAGCATTCATTTGTGCTTTCTTGAATCTAAACTATGTATCTTTTTTTTCCTCTCTCAAAGTTTATTTATAGAGACCAAAAATGTATCTATTGGAAGTTTTCTCTCTAAAGGAGTTGGTAGTTTAAATGAAAGTGTTAAATGTTGCCTTGTGTTAAAATGCAGCTCACATTAAATCCATGCACAACGCATTGCAAAGTACTTGGCTAGGGGTTTTTTTTTCCCCCTAAATAAGCTAACATTTCAACATCTCTTGTATTCCAGAGGAAATCCTTAAGACAAGTTACTGGGGAGGAAAAAAGCAAAGTGTCTAGCAGAAGTGTTGGATTAGACACAGCTACTTCTTGCCCTCCAGAAATTGGACAACCACCTGGCGAGTTTCACCTGTCTCCTTCTAAACAGTGTTGGATGAAGGAGGGATCCTCCCAGTATGGAGGTTTTCCAGGATTCAGTAGCAGTGATGGAGTATTAAGGGAACTGGATGATGGACAGTATGACCAGGAAGATGGAGTCACTCAGGTCACATGTATGTGATAAAGTAAGTAACTGCATCAGATGGACATGTACATAATTCACACAAATGGATTTTTTAAAAAAAAATTATACTACTTTAAATGCATTGGTATAATCCTATGACTTTGCCCAGACTCATTTTGTATTGTTGTCAGTTTTTGTTGTGTTAATCCTACTGTAGTAATAATACTACTACAAAATCATTTCCTCTTCTGTCTCTCTTTAATAGTATAACTACAAGACTGGGTGTTCTCCTAACTTGTTAATGCTTTTGACAAGCAAGGAAGCACAAGCTGCAAAAGAGTGACAGTTTGAGTTGTGTAAGGAGAAAGGAATGAGGATGTTTAGTATTTTCCACAAACTGGAGGAATGTTTTTGGGTTTGATTGATTGTTTGTTGTTTGTTTTTCTAAGGGTGTTGTAAATATTGGTGGGGAAAGATGAACTGTCTGGCTGTTAAGTTTTAACGTAATTCTCACTTTATTTGCCTTGCATAAGTTCTAAAGCCTAGAGAAATGTCAGGTCTTAGCCTAAAGTGTTAGTAATTTAAGCTACATTCAGATTTGGTGTGGACAATAAAACTTGGGGTGCTGTAGGCAGACGTGTGCTCCTGTAATAGTTTCACCTCTGCAGGTTGTATCAGAGTTCCTTGTACGTGTAAGCCAGGTGCTGTCAGAGCTTCTAACTCGTGTAATGATGTATTTGTAACTTACTCATGAGTGGAAATTAAGAACCACTCATCCCCTGGAAGATACCTTGCAGTCTATGAGCAAGTAGTTTGAGAAGCTCAGGAGCAGCATTGACATCAGTGTGCCCAGTGAAGCTGCTAACAGAGGAGGAGAACATAGGCTAAACTTCATGGGCAGTATTAGATCATGCAGTATATACAAACATGCTGATGTGTATATAAAAAATGTCTCAGCTGAATGTATCTCACACTGGATAAGGTGTATTCAACTGCATCAAATACCAGACATCCTTACCATGGGGAGGAGCTGCTTGGGTTAAGTGAGAGTGATGCTGGCAGGGCTACGTGGGGAGAGGCACAAACAGGAGTTATTTTTATGCTGCTGTCTGGAAACTACACTTTACAGAGGAGAAGCTGAATAAAAATGTATCTCCAGAAAAAATTTCATTTTTCATTTAGTTTTAGAAGCAAAATACTATAAATGCTCTTCATATTTAAGCTAATGCAAAATAATTCAGTCAAGATGAGAAGTGAGAACAGAACTGAGCAATTGTATTCACAACCCTGCTCTCAATGTTTGCAGTACAGCACACACATCACCCAGGGATTCTGATACCTGTCTCTGTGTATTGTGCTGCAAACATGGAGAGAAATGTCATAAATATGTTTACCTACACCAGTCTGCTCCCCTGGGGGGGCATCCCACCAGCTGCTGTGGGAGTCTGCCTGTCCACAGTGGTAGGTTGCTGGCACTAAACACAGTGGGCAAATCAGTGCAGTAACACCAACAACTAACTCCAAATGAGTACCCCAGGAGATGACCAGGATAATGGAAGTGTAGCTGCAATCTCAGAGCTGTGCAGAAATAACATGGGCAGAAGCTGCTTATTTTGATAAGCAAAAATTAACTAATGAAGGAAAAAAGTTACACTTGCTGCTATTTCAGTTTATTTTTGTAGGGTGGGCAGGGGGGAAACCCATTCTACTGGCATAATTAGCGTAGTGGGAGCTTGAAATATTATTGCTGCTTCCCAATTTGATTGTGAAATTCTTGGGGGCAGGCTTGTTTATTTTTCAGTTTGGAAGAGGAACTCAACAACTATTTGTAGCTGGTTTGGGATTTTTTTTTTTCCAAAACAGATGCACAGCCTTGGAGCTGGAGACATTGCTTCAGCTTCTTTTTCCCATTGCATGCACTGTGGGGAGCAATGGGAGCACAGGAGTACCTGTAAGAGGAGGCATGGTAAGAAATCCCTTCTTGCCAAGGCTTCTCTCCCAGCTTTCCCAGCATTTCGAGGTCAGAGATGTGGGGCATGAACCTTGCATTTCGTTCCCTGTCTGGGGCACTGTGTGGAGGAAGATCCCCCTGCTAAAGGGAGGGTGCTGGGCTGGCTGTTCCCTGCAGAGCCTGACCCAAATGCTGCTCTCTCTTGCAGCTGCTGCTCTGGGAACAGCAGTCGTGGTCACAGTTAGCAGGGATCTCCTCCGTGGTACACAGGGGGAAGAAATGACAGACATACATGTTACATCTGCCTCTGGCAGAAAGCCAGGGAACTCTAGCATTTTAAAAATGGAGTAACAGCTGGGCTTTTGCAACTTAGAATACGTTGCTCTCCTTTTAAAAGTATTTTTCATGAGTTATCCAAAACTCTGGTGTGCTTGTAATTTTAACTACTAGTCATTCTCCATACAAGTCAAACCTGTAAAATAAGCAAGAATTGGTCAAAAACTTCAGCAATTCTGAATATTTCAAGTTTGAGCTTTTAAAATACATAAAGAAATTACTTTTTATTAAGCACTATTCCTGCTCATGGTGGTTAACAGTAGTGAATCCTTAACCAACACTGAACTACAACTATTAAGTTACAAAGTATAAAGTAGTAAATTTAATGCAGTTACTCTTTCTGGAATGCATTACTTGGATAAAAAGAGTCATTTAACTTTTAACTGAGATCCTATCAGCTGTTGAGAGTGCAGAAAATTCAAATAAAATAGTATCATTTTAAGAGATTTTCCCCTTACAAGTTATGGGAGGTACACAAGGGAGATTCTGTTCTGGTATGAAGGTACCACATGGATATCCACAGCTACACTCTAGAATATCATTACTTTTAGCAAGACTTGTCTTAAAATGAAATAAAATGGTATTCCTTTCCAGTAGTCCCCAGTTTTAACTGTGCTTTAGTTCTTTCTTGTGAATCTCACAGGTGTTGGCAGTGCTGCAAACCTCTGAATTTCTTTCTTGTCTTTTTAATTCAGTATAAATATGTGAAATTGTTTCCTCTGAACACACTCAGCAATTCCTGTTAAAGAACAGCTGGGTTTTTTAAATGTCATTTTTCTCACAGTATGAAAGTTGCCCCTGCTGTAGAAATATTAATCTTGTTTTCCCAGGTCTCCATTGTCTTTCACCTCACAGGCTCTGTATGGAAGAAAATAAACAAAATACAGTTCTTCATATGGGGGGGAAGTCAACCTGACAGGAGTCAAGATAGAAATGTGTGAAGTGAGTGGCACAGAGGGTAGCAAAGGAATGAATTCCTCAGCATTTTTTTTTTTTTGGTACAAGAAATCAGGGCAATCATGGTAGTGGTAAGTAGCCAGTTTGAAATAAATCATGGTATCTGTTCAGCTGACTGTAGAATTCCTTGCTGCAGGATGTTGTGTGTAAAGTTACATGGACTTAAAGGTGACCAAAAAACTCCTGAAAGGAAAAACATTATTCTCTCTGAAGGTCACTGAACCAGAAGCAGACTGTGAAAAACTGGTCTGACTGCACACCTCTCCTGTTCTTTAGATTATTGTGAGCACCAGGGGCTTCATCACTGGTGGCATGTAGCTGAGTGCTCTCCTGCTGCAAGGCTTGCTTTTGAAAGTCAGGGCAAGAGTTATATCTGACTTCACACTCTAGTCAAAGAACAGAGTAAACCACCTGTCCTCCTAAGGTGTGGATGCTGAAACAGACTAAATTGAAAATGCTTCTAAAACAAAATATGGAAAATCTTCTGTTTTGTTCCTTACAGTTAAAAATGCTGAAAGACAACTATATCCCACTTGGATAAGTGAGAAGGGGAGAGTTCATTTTGGGTATACAGGATTCTAATTTCAGAGACTCATTTCATCACCTGGTCTTACAACCAGAGCATTTAGCTGTGCCTTTACTAGTGTGGGTGACCACCACTGTCCATTAAGTAAACAAAGTTTGTAAATCACAAGACCTGTCAGAGTAACTAACAAAACTTTTTGTATGCTATTATGTGTGTGTATGTACACACACTGCTCGGTTTCCATTTTACCAGAGTGCATTAACTTACTTTTTATTGTAAGAATTGCAAATTAAAGCATGGATGCATTCTCTGACAGAAAAAGGAAGTACATTTTTACTCAATGACAGGGCTTCAGTCAGGGGCAGCCTGTGTGTCTGAACTGTAGTAGGAAAGTCCCTGACCTGTATGTGACGAGAGAAATGCTCTGCAACTATCAGAACAGAGACAGAAGGCAGCCAGTACTGTTCATGAACTTCTGCAAAAGAATGTTTATATTTTCTGATGCTTAAATTGTTTGGAGAGGAAATAGTTTTCTAGTGTTTACAAACAGGAAGAAACTGTCCAATGTTCAATGTTTTGTACCCTGCTCATAATTGTCAGAACAGTTTATTTACATACCTGGTCTTTTGCAATAAACTGTTGCTTAACTTCGGTGTTTCCTATCTGTAAAGTACTATTTTTGTAAAGGGTAAGATCTTTTCTATAGTTCATATAGGAAGGTCCTCACCATTAAAAGCACTTATCAAATCAGTTGGTTTATGATGTTTGTCTCACACTGATATTAAATGGGTTAAATCAGTGTATGCCTTGCCTCAAGCTAGACTTACTTTCTTGCAGTCTTGTCTGTCCAGTCTTGTCCAGACAGCTCACAGGGCAAAGCCTGATAGACTTACAGCCATCTATTAAAAGCTGATTAGGCTTTCCTTGTCATTAGTCTGTTGTTCTTTTGAAGGCAAAAAATGCAAGCTGCTGTCTTGACAATTCCCTGTGGATTAATTTAGAGAATCATGTAAGTTCAGATTTACATTTTTCAACACCAAATTCCTGTAGCAGAATTTAGACAAGTGTTATGATTTAAAGAAGTGAACATCCCTGGCTTGAGCTAAGCACAACTTGAAATGAAGAGACAAAGTGGTTTAGAGGAACTGGTCTGATGACCTGTTCTGATCTGTTTAAGCAGATGAACTTTGACATGTGAGAGAATTAAAATCTTAAAAGGAAAGTAGCAAAATCACCATGGCTGATGTGCTGCAAGATACGCTAAGCCAAAAATCAGGAAAAAATAATTTGGAAGTTAGTTTTTGCTTACAGTTGCTTTTGCATTTGTGACTTGCTGTCATAATGTGCTTACTTTGTATCTGGGAGCCCCTCTTCTAGATCTGACATTTTTACTGTACAACCACCGTTTTATGTTTTGAGAGGTGTATAAATTTGAGGTCTGACTTCTGAGTTGCTAATGAGTATTGCATTTCTCTACTTTTGAAAGAAAACATACAACTTGACTTCAGCACACCTTGTAGCAGAGGGGAGAGCACTGAAGGTTCTCTTGGAAGCACGCGGTTGCTGCATTCTTGGACGACATGAAAAGTGAGAATAACTTGCCAAAATATCGTAGTATGGATAAAGAAACAGTTTAATTTCATCCTTTTTTTTACAATATAATTCAAAGACAGTCTCAGTTTCCCTATTATGTAGAGTCTAAATTAAATGTGTTAATATTTATTAGACAAATCAATGGTTTGCTTAGGCTAACTGAAGTTTTATGGTACCATCCAGGCACATGTGTGTACACAGTACTCATGTAAACAATAGCAAGGGAAAATACAAGCAGTGTCTCACTTAGGCCTTATATATAAAATCAGCTTAGTATAGCAAGTCAACTTTACAGTGCAAATCTGAATGAGAATAAACAGGATTAAAACTTCCCGAGTCTTATTTTGAAGTGAAACTCTTAAAGCGTAAGAGGAAGAGGTTTAAAATTTTAATGCAGTCCTGAGCACCACATCATTTTCTTCAATTTTGCAGAGGAAATGTAATTAGCAACCCCAGTTACATGTTTTTGCCTGTCTCAGTCACTGTAGCCGCTATACATGTGCGGAGTGAGTGGACAGAGGAACCACACCATGGATGGTCCTAGAGCAGACTGTAACAAAGCTAAATACATTTTGCTACCTCCAGAATGCAGTTCTCCTACCTGCAGTACAAACTTCAAGGTATCTGTCAAAATCAGGTTAACCCAGTCTATACAAGGCCAGTTCCAGCTAAGTGTATAGACAGCAACTAAAGCTACTTTCACTCAGACAACATCTCATGCAATTACCCTGCAATTACAATGATAAACATGAGACAAAAAGAGCTGCTGAAGTACTTAAGCTTAGTCTATTTTCTCATTGTTTAAATTCCCTTTACATCCAGGTGATACAGTTGCTTGAGGTGTGCTTGATTCATATAAAGAAACATAGAATTTAAGGCATGTTTAGTATATTATGAAAAAAGACAATAAAAATAGGTGGACTCCCTTCTTTCCATGTAAATATAATGTAGAAAACAAAATGTAAATTATTGAAACCAGCTGAGCTAGCCCATTCTGACCTGCTGAAAGAAATAAAGAGGGCTCCTGGCAACCTCAGAGAGAAACAACCAGCTAACTTCTTAAACAGCTATGCAAAATTCATTTAATATAGGAACACTGCTACTGCTTTTAGACCCTGCATTCATGTACACTTAGCAGTATTTCTGTTATATGCATCTCTAAAACATTTAGTTCTATCATTCTAGACATAACACAATTAAGCAGCACTCATGGAAATTGTCAGTTATTGCAAATCTGCAAACACAGCTTCAAATAAACATCTAATAGGGAACAGAAGCATAAATCCAAATCTTTCTGTCAGTATAATTCAGGTGGAATGAAGAGAAACAAATGTATGCTGAAAACATGATTAGCTCTTGCAAAGAATGGCATTCATTATTTCAGGTACTTAATGTTTGTTCTAGGAACACAAGCAGAGCCCATGCTAGTGTGTTATGTAGTGTAACGTGAGTAGTTGAGGTATAATCTGTAAGCAGTTGCCACCAGAGCGCACAGGTATTCTTTAGAGAGGTTGTGCACTGGAGAAGTCAAGTCTGCCTTAACAGGACAGCACCTGGCCCCTGCTGTACACAAACCTCCACTGTTAACAAAAAAACAAGTCCAGAAAGTGTGTTAGATATATATCAAGAATATATATGTTCAGTAGCATAGTGAAATTGTCCTTTGGGTTAATACTATAGATCCTGTTAGCATTTGGATATACACATACAGCAATATGCACATCCAGAAGTAAATCTACAAAGCCATCATAAAAAAATAAAAGGTAAATTAGGAGTAAGCTACATTGCAAGGAGACCCTTGCAGAATTATATATTTAAGGTGATAATCTTTGAACTAAGACTTAATATAGGTACTGCATTACAAAATGGCTTGGTGTGAAATCTTCATCTCACTGTTTTCCCCACCCAATCAGACACCTCTTCAGGATTGTGATTCAATGATTGTTTAGCAGCAGTTTTAGAGAACTGTAAATTCTTTTATTAACAGGCATAATTATAAACAGATACTACTACTTTTATTTAAAAACCATGAGTGCCACATTGATGAATATACAGCTCATGAATAACTTAAAAGTATTTCCCATATTAAAAGGCAATGCACACAGCATACAAAAAGTGTACTAAACAAAGCTATGAAGATACGTGATTGAAGTGTCTAAAATGATATATACAGTACGTCATTAATGTTTTGTTTTTATTCAGTACAGGCTTCTGTACTGCTGGTCCCATCATGCCTCACTTTCCCCTGACACTGAATTTTGCACTTCTTCTTCCAAAATCGGTACAATCAGGTTATCCTTGGACATCAGATTATACTTCATCACAAACTTAGTGAACCGGTGACACAAGAAAGTTTCATTCTGGAGATGAAAAAAAAGGGGAAAAAACAGTATGTACAGAAGGATTATTTTAAACAATTAGGAAGAACATAAAAAAACACCCCTGCTTATATGTAATTGTCGCATTAGATTTACAAGTCTTACAAAGAAATAGTCATGCTTAAATAGTACATTTTTAACTGCTTCTTTGTATCTTTACTGTTTGCTTAGTTGCTGCAATTAGAAAACCTACTGAAGTTTAAGTCACAGCTCAATTTAACAGCACTTAAACAAGAATATATTTAAATGTCAATATAGTTCTGCAATTCCTCCTGCATGTACTACTGCAAACAAAACAGGGCACAGCCATTCCACAGCTGTTCCAGCAACTTTAAGAGGGATTTGGCAAAGGCTTCCTTTTATATCCAGCTACACTCCTTATCTCCTTTTTATCTATTAATTTCTACTTTCCCATAACAAAAACAAACAAAAAAAAGATTACTGGAGGTGCACAAGCTGCCAGCAGTCACTCCTTTTCTCTAGTTTTACAATTAAAATTCCTTAACTTGTACAGGATATATATCTATATATATAATATACATATTAGCAGTACTAACTACATCAAGTGCTTGAATACATTCAGAATTGTTTGAAAACAAGATGAATTTGAGTTCTTTGTATAAAAACCCTCAAATTTTGACCTTTTATCCCAAAATGAAGGGAAACCATAATCAGGTAACTAATAATATAAACGAATATTTATGTGAATGTATAACAGCTTTTCAGTTATTGTAAATCTGGAATCTACTATAATCAGTCCTTCACTTGAATACAGATCTTCTGGTAGGACTAAGATGTCTTATACAATTATATCAGAGCTGTAACTTCAGTAAATGCCCTGCTTTCCCGATGTAATTTGAAACTACTTACTTCATATTCATCAAATATCTGCCGGTGATGGAAATAAGCGTGTGAAAATATTCTGTAAATCCTTCGGCACACTGATCCTAATTTGGCTACAGAGGATTCCTTTATGCTAACCCTGTAAGCACCAGGAGAAAGGTTACAGAACAGATCTAATGAGTGAGATACACACTGACATGAATTCTGATTGTTAAAACTATACTGTGTGCATATTGCATATGGAATTTAGACTTAAGTATTGCAGATATCTGTGTCTGCAAGTGCTTATTTTTGGAAGCAAAGTAAAAATGTTGGTGTAAGCTCCACACTTACAAATTTTAAGTTTTTACAAATTACAGATTGTACTCTGACTACAAAAACAGTTTTGCATGTAGTTAATCATCACCACTTTTTCCAGTGAAGACTGGATTTCTGGTTTCCAGCATTGATGGGCAAAGAAAAAAAAGACTTCCAGTTGTACCTCCTTGTCAATACTGGATTCCTAAAGCAGCGTAATCTTGACTTCTCTAGAGAGGTTTCTGTGATGTGAGCTGCCCATTCAGTACACTCAGTCTCTGTCTTGTGTGGTTGCTCTGTCCCACAGTACACTGTGTTGGCCTCTGAAGCTTTCCTGTCCTACTGTTTTAAGTCCTTAGAGCTGCAGCATCTCTCTAAAGGCGAGCCTGTTATTTTGGTGGGCACTACTCCCATAGAAGCCCCATAACACTAACAGGTATTAGTAAAACAGTTTCCACCTAAAAAGCATCTGTCAGGTCCAGTAAATGGCAAACTATTTAAATAAGCAATTATTCCTTGGCTTAAAAGTGGCAATAGGCCTACAAACTTGTGACAGATGCTGGACTTCTGATAGTTCCAGCTTTAGTCCATAAAAAATGAATTACGCCTTTCCATGTGTTTTTTGTGTCAGGTGCCACCTCCTCCCTCCCTCCTCCCAAGAGAAAGTGTTTTTACCTGCTGGGGAAATAT